CGTGATGGTTAATATTCTGAAGGAAAGAGTTCCCCGGGTCCGTGTTCGCAGAGATTCGCAAACCCGGATGTTTGGTGGAAATGATCTCCCTGCCAAGAAATACAATCCTCTCACAGAAACAGACAGGCTGACAGCCTCTCTTGCCGACCTCCTGTGAGTTGCCGTCCCCAGGCTTGTGGAGGGAGCCAATCGACGCAACGGAGAGATGGCCGGAGCCTGCCAGGACGCCAGAATCATGACCCCATCGTCATCAAATTCATCACGAAGCTTCGGCGACGACACAGCCAGTAAGCAGGCCACAAGCCGGGTGGAGTGGCCTGTTCGGCGATCATCCAGCTACCGGACCCCGCAGAAATACCACCATCCAGGCAAGATCTCGCTGTGATCTTCTCGGCAGCCCTCTCTTTTCTCCGCAAACCAGGCGCTTGTTGGTCAAGAGCTTCTTTCTGGGCCATACCCCACCGCTAAACACCCAACGACCCCCGAGCCCCCCAACAACTCGCAAAGCATAACGTTAACCGCAGCCCTGTCCTAATTCCGAGTTTTCGACAATATCTGAATTCCGCTTTAGGCGCTGGCAGCAGCCCAGGGCAACACGATCCAGGTTGCATCCGTGTAGGTTGCATTCGCGCAGGGGGCGGCGATCGCATTGCGGATGACGGGAATCGCGACGGGTTTTTGATGAGTGAGAAAAGGGCGCCGCCCGGTCGCGTTCGCGCTCCGTCACCCCACGGACAAGCTTGGTTCGTGCCGAACAAGACGCAGAGAGAAGGGGAGGACGCGCGGATGGGGGTGGCGGCTCGGCCATAAAGCTCGAACCTGGAACCAACAAATCTGCAACCGTCGGGCGTTCACGTTGAGGCTGTTGGAAAGAGGCCCAATAATAACCGCCGCGGTTGTTCCCAGCCCGGCCGGCTCCCGGACGACTAGTCCACTGCACCGTCATGTTCCCCGGCCGGATCTTCTGTCAGACTGTCACCCGCCCTCCTAGCCTAGTCCCATGATGCCCATCCACCCCCAAGCGGCTCTTCGCCGCAATGGTACCTGCCGGTGGTTGAATGGTGTGCTTTGAGAGACTGAGCGCAACGCAACGTCAGAACCGAGCCTGGTGTCCCCCAAAACGCCCCGGCTCAGGGGATGATTCTCGCAGTAACAACCCAAAAAACAGTTTGACTCGACCAACGTACTCTGTACCTCTTTTCATCGTCCGCTGGTTCCGGTATCGCTGCGACCGCACTTGAACCGACCGGTGGCCGGCCAAGCTGAGCGGCGCAGGTGTCGAGGCATTTCGGAGAAACATGCCTTGGGGATAGTTCAAGATTGCGCAGATCACCCCCGCTCGCTACCTTGGTTTTGCATTACTGAGCACTCCATCTTGCGCGCCGATAACTATTAGTATTAGTAACCTTTTCATGCCTGGGCAAGTGCATGGGAAGGACCAAAACTTTTCATCGGGAGGCTGCTTGATGAGGAGCCGCAGCCGCACCGCTTCCCGATCGATGCATTGCATCCGAACTCCCAGCGGAACCAACATCTGTGCTTCCCGCAGCATGCAGGATGCAAGGCACAGTTTGTCTCCGCCGTTGCTACCCAATATTAGGGGCCTCGTCTCGTCTCCTTATTAGCGCCATGCAGAGATACTTAGCGATTTGTCAACCGCGATAACGTCCCCAATCACAGCTGAAAACCCAGGAGGCCCCGGCCTACTCGGAGTAATGCGCCATTGCAAAAGGTTTGCCTGTTTGCAATGTTATTGTTGTTGCTCTCTTCTTCTGACTTTCTTTCAAGTCCTTCAAACCCCTGTCCCTGGCGAGACAGACAAGGCAAAAATACTTGGAAGCCAACTCTCGATCGAGAGGTTCCCAACTTCCTAGGTACTGAAGCTCACATTGTTCTTGCCCTTCCGAGGGACCTAACATCCGACGTCCGAGCACAACGGCCCCGCCTCCTTTTCACTCTCAGGGCCCTGTTCCTCCAACCGCGACTGCCGGAACTGCAGCACGATATACCCGAAGCTCAGCCGACACAAGGAGAACAGGAGGGTTGGGGCAAGCGGCCGAAACATGGCCCCATGACTGACCTAACCAGGCCAAAAGAAGGAGAGAGAGGAGGGAAACGAAACTTGACGATATCCAAATCGCCAGGCTAAACACTCAAGTCTGATAAGACAACCCAATTCGCCGGTAGGCTATGTAATCCAGCCCGACCCGGGCCCAAGCGAGTGGCGAACTAAGGGGCAGGTGGTCTGATATCTGTCTACTTAAGAAGCGAGCAGCAGTCAATGGCCTAGGTTTTCGTGTTTTCACAGCAACTCTCATCTCTTGGGGCCATCCCAGATATCGGAGAGGAACGGAGAATGGGGTATAACAGAAGTCAGGGACGTATATCTCGAGCTGACCGCCGAAATGTGCACTTCTTTAAGCGCCAACCTTTAGCTTCCTACACCACCTATGTTTCGACGTTACCTTTCGTCCCTCTACTTTCCACCTCTCTCCGCCCCCTGCATGTGTCGCATACATACACCTGCATTTTCATGTATTTGACACGGCCGCCACACTTGACAGTTAATACTTCTCCATCTATCTATCCGGCTATCCGGCTCTCAGATCAGCCCTACGCGGTGTCTAACGGCGAATACGGATGATTGCTCATTGGCTTTTGTAACGGTTCCGGCTTTCCCCCGGAGTCTGGCCCCAGCTCCTCTCTGGAAAGGGGGCAAGTCCCTCTTTTTTCGTTGATTTTCTGCCCTTTCACGTCTCTATCCTCCTGGTATGTAGATGATGATTGGGGGAGGGGAAGGCGGAGGGCAGAGGTTGCATATGCATGTTGCATATGGGTAGATACATTGGCGACCGGTCAAGACGCGCCGGGTACGTGCAGCCGGTCGGTTGAGCGACCCGACCATCTATCGCCCCGGCTGGCTGGCCGGTCAGAGCACGGATGCAGGAAGCAAGCAGGCCGCAGGTCGGTGGAGGAAGACGTTGACTAGTTAACTTAGTGCGAATCACACAGTGGTTGGTGTACAGGTTATCGAGAATTTCACCCCTCGCCAGCCCTGGACCGACCGTTCCATTTTGTCTGGCTGTCTCCCTGTCTTTTCTTTCCAAAGTACCGTGACAGGAATAAGTAGGAGATAATACCCAAGAGAAAATAAAAAATAAAAAATAAATAAAAATAAATAAATAAACGGCTAATTTCCGCGCCGATTTAATTACCAGTTCGGCTTTATTAATCCATACGTAACGTTAACTAGTTAACAACAAACGTTCTTTTCCTTCCATTTTTCACCCAACTCTCAACTCAACTCGCTCACCCCATGTACCTTGCTTCAATTGCTTCTTGTTCCTTGCATAGCCCACCGTTACACACACAGTACACTACTCGTATCCCCAAATCTCGAACCACAGAGAAACAAGTGTGTGTAGAGTGTAATTTGATAGGAGTCTGGGATCAACCCGGCAGAAGAATTCAGGGTTCTTACCTGCCAACCCGCTGCCAACGGTTTGTTGTTTCAGAAAGGGGAATGGGATAGGATGGATGGTGGTGGGGGGGCGCAAGTTCACTAGCGCGAGCGTTAATGGCTCGGGGAGCTAATTGGTGAGCTATCTCTTTTCTTGCTTGGAGGCAGAGGAGGGGGGTTGGTGGTGGGTTGCGTGTGTTCGTTGAAAACAAAGACAGAGAGGGTGGGGAGATACTATAAGACAAAACCAGGTCAGGCAGGACAAGACAAAACGTGTTGCTAGGTCTTGATTATATGTCTCGGTTTCTCTTACTTCTGTTCAGATTTTTTTCTTTCTTTTTTCTTTTCCTTACACTAACTAACTACTCTTCAGTCAACTCCGATCTCGATCTAATCTATCAATCCTGTTTGACCTCAAGGGGGAGAACCCCCAAAGGATGGTCCGATTCTGAATAAGGATAAACGAGAGTCGGGGGTATGGCGGGTAAAAAAAAAAAACACTAAGCCTACTGAGGCAGGCGGGGGTTGAAAAGAACGTGATGTTGACGGCCAGACCAAGAAAATGACGGATGGGAGATTGGGGCGAAAGGTTGTTTGTTTGCTTTTCGTCAAGAATGAGGGGGTTGCGAGACGCCATACATGGCATGCACGTTTTTCGGGGCTAGGAGCTAAGACGTGGGAACTGGGATCAAGGAACGCGGATCAGGAAAATCATTTTGAGGAACGGAAGTTGATGAAGGGTGTGGCAGTGAATGAATCAGGTCTCGGGGAGAGAGGGGGGAAACGAGGCATTCCCGGTTCTGTCTTTCAAAGTTTTCTTGTGTAACGGCCAACTGACTCGACTAGTAGCATGCAATATGATCGCCATTTTAGACGCCTTTGCCGCCGGTACCGGGGAAAATACCATCTACACGGCGGAATATCGTGAAAGCCTGAACTCCGAAGTATGCGCTCCGCAAACAACAACCGTAACCGACTCCCGAAGGATCTGTTTTGAGAGAAAGCCGATGTTTCCCCATTCTCCATCCCATGTTTGCATCTCGAACCCCAACCCTCGAGATGTTGTGCTGTGCGCGTAATGGAGGGTGTGACAAAGAGAGATCCCATCCGGCTCCGGGGTGGGTAGGACGCCGGTGGGCGCCGTCCCGCCCCATCAACAGCAACGGTGAGGCAAGCAAGACAAGACAAGCTCGGCTTGCTCGTGTCCGGTGAAAGAGGGAAGCGCCCGGCCGCTCACGGATAAACGTGGGAAATGCCGACGTGCGGCATGGCTCACAGTGCCAGATCCAACTATCGACTAAAAATGGGGGGCCAAGAAGAATTCGACATGACTGGTTTGCCGCCGTTATCGTCATCCACTGGGGAGGCAGAGGTTCGGCGGCAGGTTGGTTGGCCCGGCGGCCGTGGCCATCACAGGGGTCGTCGTCTTGTCGTCAACTTTTGCGCTCCGCACGAGCAGCAAAACGCTTCCCTTTTCCGGACAATCGCGGCTGTTCGCTCTCTGCATGGCTTCCTTGCCTCATGTTCTCGGTGAGCCTTTTTAGCGCTTGATGATCGTCACTTGAGACAAGAAGGTGGTTAGCATATCGTTGTTTTTTGTTCTCTTTTTCGCCCCCAGAACCCCGCATCTCTGGAACCAACAGGACATACCAATATCCTCATCCGCCAACTCGTGGCCCAAACCGACCCGTTGCGGCTGATGCTTAACCGATTTGCCGTAGACAACGGCCGACTTGAACTGCTCGGTGATACTTCGGTGAATGGCGTTACACTGAAGGGATGGCCGCGATTAGCATTCATCGTCACCTCCGAGCCCGAGATTCGGGCGGAAAAGGGGGTAAAGGGGTAAAACGTTGAGTTGGCGCTTACAAAGTCTTCCACCGTGCACTTGGTGGAGCGGAGCACCACGGGGGCCGAATAGTCGGGCATCTTTCCCTTGGGCTTCGTGTACACCCGAACAAGATTCAACTTGTCCCACCTATGTGACTCAACGTTAGCTGGAATTTGATACGGGCATACGGGAAATGCCTGATCCCGGGCAGTTCGTACATGGCCTCCATCAACTCGTCAACGTTCCATCCGTGCTCGGAGCTGATGGGCACCGAGTTCGGAATGCGGTAGAGTAAGTCCAGCTCCTCGATACTGATGCTGTCGATCTTGTTGAGCACGTAGATGACGGGGATGTAGCTCCGGCTTTTCGCTTCGAGGATATCAATCAAGTCGTCGATCGTGGCGTCACAGCGGATGGCAATGTCAGCCGAGCTGATCTTGTATCTAGAGTCCCCCAAGCCGTTAGTGCTCTCGTCCACCTCAATTGTCTCCCGGGACAGAAATAAGTTGGCAAGGGAACAGAAAAGTCCACGCACTCGCTCATGACGGCCCTGATCTCGTCATTATCAATATGTGTCAACGGCACCGTACTGGTGATGTTCAGCCCCCCTTTATCCTTCTTCTTGAACGTGATGTTCGGCGGCTCCTTATTAATTCGGATCCCAAACCCCTCCAACTCGCTCTCAATCACCCGCTTATCCGTCAGCGGCTTGTTCACATCTAGAACAATAAATATCAAATGACACGTCTTAGCCACCGCAATAACCTGCCGCCCACGACCACGACCATCCTTGGCACCCTCAATGATACCGGGCAAGTCAATGATCTGCAGCGGCGCACCGTTGTAGGTGACCTGACCGGGCACACTGGTCAACGTCGTGAACTCGTAGGCGGCCGCTTCCGAGTGCTGGCCCGTCAGCCGGCTCATGAGCGTACTCTTGCCGACGGAAGGGAAACCGATAAATCCGACCGAGGCCACGCCGGTGCGAGCCACGTCGAAGCCGGCACCACCGCCGCCGCCGCCACTGCTTGAAGGGGTGAGAAGCTCGCGCTTGAGCTTGGCGAGTTTGGCTTTGAGTTGGCCGATGTGGTAGGATGTGGCTTTGTTTTTTTGAGTCCGAGCCATCTGTTTTCCGGGGGGGAGAGTGGGTTAGATCTCAGAATGCACATCGCTGTACTGTCGTCCTTCCCTTTGTCGCCATTGTTGAGGAGGGGCGGATATTGAACATACTTCGGACTCGATCTCTTTGATCTGTCATAACGATGGTTAGATCCTTGAACGTCTTGCCACCACCTTCTTTCTGGCTGTTGGGAACCGGTCTTGGGCGAATACATACCTTCTCCACCGTGGTAGACATGATTGCGGTGTTGTCGCTGTCCTGCTTGTGGTTTCTTGTTCGTGATCTGCCGGGGGAGGGTGCTAGAAGCGGCGGTACTCAATGCACAAAGCGCGACGAGACGGTGGGTTGAGCTTAACGTATTCGTTGTTCGGTGTTCTGTCGAACGTCCATGTGGGAATTTTGATGGTGGGGCGAAATTCGATTGGGGGGTTATTCACTGTGCAACGAGGATTGCGGGTCAACCACAGCCGTGGGGACGAATGAACCGCAGGTGCCCGCCCCGCAGGTTGATGTCACACAGCAGCTTGTCCATCTGTCTATGTACTCCATAATTACTTTTGTCTTTTTCCTTTTTGTTTCTGTTAACATTATTCCTACGGGCATCACCGCTTCAGCCTCACACTTGTCGCTGAATGTTACAGAGTGTAATCGGTATGATACTCATGGGATCATGGTTGATGTATACATCATACTATCTACATATCGGAAACTCCTTTGCTCCCCCTTTCCGAATTCGCATCAACTGAGGCCCCCCCTCCCGGTTTCTGAATGTAAAAACCCAACACTGCTTCTCCAAAGTCATAATAAACCTGGACCAAGACTTTGCACGCGCGCTAAACCCACACATCAATCGGCGTAAACATTGTACAGTACAAATCCCCCAGGACTACCTCAAAGAGCCGGCTCCTGCCGCCCTTCCATGACCAGGTGAGTTTCGGTCGTGGGGAACAAGAGCCAGTACGGCCGTTTCCTGAAATCCATTTCTCATCTACTTGGCCGTCTTCCCTGCTCGTGTCATTGCGCATCCAAAGTGTTCAGGGAAAGCGGCGCAAATTGTCGTGTTCTGAAGCCACCCCCAAAATATTAACGTGAAGAGCCCGCTCCCATACTCATCCCCTTGAAACAAACGAGATGTGATATCCTCTCCGCAGTAAGCGAGGTGAAAAGGCCGCTGCCACAGTTGCTCACTAATTCTCTTCAGAACTGCCGCAACTTACTCTGTGTGGGCGGTCGTGCCGGAAATATCGTGAGTGCCATTGATTAATGGACGGGCTTGCGCCGGGCCCGCCTCGGAGGACGGAGAAAGCGGGTGGTTTTCCGTCCCATTAGTTGCCACAGTCGTGGTCAGAGACAGCGGTTGTCGCCCGTTGATCTCTCCATTCCCCCCATGAGAAGCCCGGCTGATAGGAGATGAGTGCACCCCGTTCGGCAAGGTTGTCGGTTCGGTGTCGATATCCATGCTACGCTCTTTGGAGAGCGTCATGTGAGAGAGACCATCGCCAGAGATGCTCGGAAGGCTTCGGCGGGGAATCCGCTGTCGGGGGAAAGGCGAGGTGCTGGCCTCTCTAAGGCACGGCTTGTCTTCTGAGACCTTTTGGCCGTTGATGTAATGCTTGTTGCTTGGCGCAAATCCACCATGACTCTTCGCATCTGGATCGTCCCTCCATTTCTGTTGAGGAGGCCAGGTTTCTGAAATCTCGCAATATGTCATGGTAATCTTTACGTGGCGAAGATGCTGCACAGTAGGGATGATGAATAAGAAATCCGAGGCCTGCGGGCGAGTTAGACATCACGATTAGAGGGGAAAGAAGAGCAGACACTGAGTTGGGGGGAGTGTGGTTACATACCTTAACAAAGAACAGATCCATCGCCTCAAACTTGGCCCACGCTTCAGCTCGAAGACGCTCGAAGATGACATAACTCATCGTCTTCGGGGCGAGCCCTTGGTAGTAGCCCTCGAGCTGTTCACCAATCTCGTACAGAGCAGGCGTCGTCAGAGCATAACGGTCAGATTCGAGGCGCCAAATGGCCCGCTTCGCGGCAGGCGAGGCGGGTACCTTAGGCCAGGCAGTGTCTGTTTTACCGCTTAGTCAGCGCAGTCTCATAGAGTAAAAGCTCATGGGCCAACCTACATCGTGAGAGGCTCAAGTCCTTCTCACCCAAAAGAAGGGCGACCTGGGTGTTGAGGAGCCATTGCTCTCGGCCAGCCGCGGTACCATTCATCCCGGGGTTCATGCAGTCGTAGCGGACACCTTGGGTCGTGCTGAACTTCTCCGCGACCTCGGCAGCCTTGGGGTTGGCGGCCTGATCAAGCCAACGCAAAACGGGCGGCAACTTGTCGAGGCGGGCACGCTCCTGCTCAAGGCGTATCCGCCGTTGTTCGGCTTCTTTCGCAGCACGCTCGGCTTCCCTGGCGGCCCGTCGGCGCTCCATCTCTTCGCGGTGGGCACGCTCCTTACGTTCCTGCTCCCGTTTCTCCTCCTCTTCCCGTTGCCGGCGAGCCTCTTCGGCGGCCTCACGCTCCAGCTGCTCGCGGCGTAGGCACTCCTCCTCTTCCCGCTTCTTGCGCTCTTGCTCCTCTTTTTTCCGCCTCTCCTCCTCCTCCTTTTTCTTCCGCTCCGCTTCCTCCCGCTTCTTTCTCTGTTCTTCTTGGAGCCGGCGCTTCTGTTCTTCCTCCCGTGCTTTGCGCTCCTCCTCCTCCCGCTTACGGCGTTCGTCTTCCTCCTTGCGTTTCCGCTCTTCCTCTTCCTTACGACGTTTCTCCTCCTCTTCACGCTTGCGTGCCTCTGTCTCGGCGAGTTTCTTAGACTCTTCCTCCCGACGAAGTCGTTCTTTCTCCATCTCCTGTTCCTTCTCCTTTATTTTATCCTCTTCCTCCTTGCGGCGCATTTCGTTTTCCTTCCGCTTGGCTTCGCGTGCTCGTTCCTCCACCTCGGCCTGGTTCTTCTTCTTTTCCACCTCATCATCCTTCTGAGATGGGACAGGCTTCGGCTCTGAAATATTTGTCGCAGCTGGGGGAGCGTCGGGCATGTCGACATCTTGGTCCTCGGACTTGACGTGAATGCTGCCCTCGGAAGAGGCCGACTTTCCGGCTTCACGGCGCCCCTGCTGAAGCAGAGCCTCGGTCTTCTTCGGCTTTGGCTTTCGCTCCTCCTCGTCCCGCGTTTTCGACGGAGCTCGAGATGCTGCGGCGGAACTCAGACCAGAGTCACGAGGCACTGGGGTCTTCAGGTGTTTATCATCGGATTGACTGGACTTTGGGCGTTTCTCCTTGCCGTCCTTGTTTTCGGCATCCAGTCGCCGTCGCTTGACGGGACCATCACCACTGTCCTTGTCCGAAAGGCCAAGGTGTGGGGGCGTAGCACTGGACCGGTGCCGTTTGCCGGTGCTGTCGCCCGACACAGGGAGTCGATCACGAGATTCGTCCCGCTTGAGAGCCTTCGTTCTGTCATGGTATTTCTCCGACATCGGTGCCTTCTCGGGTTCTTCCCGGGGACTGGAGGGCTCCTTCATAGACGATGCGTTCGAGGTCAAACTAGGACGTCGCTGTCGCTCCCGCTCGCCTTTCAACTCCCGGCCAGAAACCAGTTTGCGTCGCGGTTTCGTAGTTTCGCCCTCCGACGACACAGCGGCGAGATCGGACTCGGCCCGCCTGATTTTGGCTGCGGGCCGCCCGGCAGGTGATGGCTCACGATCTGATACGGCAATCGTGGGGATCCGGTCATCCTTTTTGGGACGTCCCGGGCCCCGCTTCGGTGATGTCTGGTCGTCAGGCTGTGCGGTAAGCGAGGTGGCGCGTCGTTTCTCCTTCGGGCTTGCTGATAGTTTCGTGGCGGTAAGCCGTTTAGGTTCCCTTGTCGGACTCACAGCTTTTCTCTTGTGAAGCTTTGCAGCCTCGTCCTTGATGTCCAGCTTGCGCCTCGGCTCCCGCTCCCGCTCCTGCTCGCGTCGGTTGGGTGATCGGTTCTTAGACGAGCCACTCTTGTGCGACTTCCGGTACTCATCGTACGCATCTTTGAGCATATGCTCTTCCTCCATCCAATTTGGACCGCGGCGTCTTTTCGCGATCTCGTGATAAGCCTCGCCCTTGATGCGACGGGTGGGGTCGAAATTACCCTGATCAACCTGATCAAGGAGTAGACGAACAACTTTGAGGTTTTCCTGGCCAATAGCAGCGAGCATGGGGGTTGAATACTCGCTACTCTGGCTCGAAATGGGCGACGGATCTGGGTTGGCTCTCCCGAGGGCCAAGAGAAGTTGCATGACAAGATCGTGCCCTCCCCGGGCGGCGGCGACCATGGATTCCGGATCGTCAAAGTTCTCCCTGACTTGAAGAATGCGCGTAACAGTCTCCTCATCACCACGTGCGGCGGCCGCGCGCAGGGTTTTGTCGTCCATCGGCATGTACAGGAGGTGGTTGCTGGTTTTAGTGGCACGAACCGTACCAGATCTTCGGCTAGCGATGGTGTGGGCGGAACCCATAACGCCGGGCGACCTCCGAGGACTATCGGGGCCGTAGGATGAGCGGGTGTCCGTCTGATCCGGCTGGTGCTCTTCGGAAGTCCGGCGTCGTTCGCCCATTTTCGCCTTGGCTTCCCGCAGCGCGCGTCGAATCTCATCCGCATAGTCAAGCTCGTCGTTTACCCGGTCGATCGGCTCCTGCCCATACGCGTTTGCCTTTCGGGGGTTTACGCCAGCGTTGAGAAGGATCTTGACGACATCTAGGTGGCCATTCTCCACCGCGTCGAGGAGGGGAGTGTCCTTGTCGTTGTTCACGCAGTCGAGGTAGCAGCCGGCATCCACAAGTAGCTTAACAATATCGTCGTATCCATTAAGTGCAGCAATCTGTAGCGGAGTGTTGCCGGCGTAGTCGGCCACGTTGATGTCCTCTGGGCGTTCCTGGAGTCGGTGTTTCGCGACGTCGTACTCACCCTTGGCGCAGGCCCTCGCGAGGAAGGTTTGGCCATGCGCGTCGAGATGTTTCTTGTGTGGTGCCATTTTGGCAGGCGAGGCGTTCGAGTCGGCGGTCGCAGGAGTCGCCAATCCACGCAACTTGGAGCTCCGCGGATGAGGACTGCCACTCGCGGATGACTCGTCCGAGAGATAGTCGGTCGACTGAAGAGGTGCTGGAATCCGCTTCTTCTTGTGGCTCAGTCCATTGGATGATTGTCCTGGAAGCTGAGTGGTAGAGATGCTGCGGCGATGAACCCGGGAATGAGGGGAAATGGACCGGTTTCGTGAGGCAGGAACGGCAGGGGAAGCGTGTTCGGTCTGTGGTTTTGATGGGGGAAGGTGGTGTTTTCGTGAGGCATCGAGGCCTGAGCCTGAGGTGCGCTGGCGGCGAATTTTGCGGTTCTCTGCCTCGTCATCTGAGTCGGGACGTGGTGCCTTGCGCTTGTGAGGAACTACCTTGTCCAGCGGCCGGCCCCGGTCTTTGATCGAAGACTTGGTAAATTCCGCAGGGGCTGTTTCGGAATCGGACTTGGAGTGAGTATTTGACGGTCGACGTCGTCGTTGGGTTGGAGGCGGAGAACCCGGTGCAGAACTAAGGCCACTTGAACCATCTTTGGCTTTGGATTTGTCCAGCTGTTTCTTCTTCCGCCCAAGGATAGACACGGTGCTCTCGGTGTGCCCAATCCCGGTAGTCGACACCGACTTTTCTGGTTTTTCGGGACGATCGGCCCGGGCCCCTCGATCGCCCTTGTCACCATCACGGTCCTGCTTCAAGTGAGAATGCTTGCGGCTGAGCAATGACGACGACGTGGAAGGGCCATCTTCGGTGTCGCTGTTCTCGTGCTTGATGATCTTGCGCACCTTGGACGGCGAGTGGCCATCCTTGCCCGGCAGCACGATCGTCTCAGCATCGGAATTCCCATCACCGACCGCGTCTTCATCACCGAGGCGCGCGCTGGATGCACCCAGACGGCCATCTTTGAGGGAAAGGTCGAGTTTGCTGGCGCTTGACAGCTTGGTCACGGCAGGAGGTCGGGGGTGGTCGGCGTCGGTGCCCGGCCGCTTGGGAGAAGCAGCAGGAGGCTTCGTGGAGGCGGGCTCGGCAGCATTCTGCGCATCCATGTCATTTATTTCGAAAAGAAACCACCGTCGTGCACCATCCTGGTCGGCGGGAGACCGAGGTGTCGAAGAACGCAGGACGGGAATCTGTGGCGATTGACTCGGGTCGAGATAAATGATGCGCCAAGTAGGTCGGGGTCGAGGGTTGATGGGGGAAAAGATGGAAATTGGGAGACTTTGTTGGTCAGTGAGTGTGAGTGAGCCTGGCACAGACACACCCGCACAGCCGCCTCCGTGTCCAGAGCAGAGCCGAAGAGGCCAAGCGACACGCAGCAGCGCAGTGGAGGAGACCGACAGGGGCCCTGTGGGTGGATGGGTGAAAGCGGGCACTGTTGCGCACACAAGGGCCAAAAAATTATTATGAAGGGTCGAGTCACGCGGGGATTCGAGAACGAAATATGGTATGACCGAGGCTACAGGGTGCGCGCAGTAAATCGGGCTATGTTGGGCGATAAATTGCTAATACACACTGCCGGTAGAGATGGCTGTGAATTGCTTGTTTGATGGATGCCCGTGTTTGACGAGAAGGCGTCGGAACAGGTTCTCCAAAACCTTGAGTGGATGCGTGGTTGCGCTTGCGCTTGGCCGGAGGCAAGAGGAAATCCAAAGCTTCAAGGTTGCGGCGGCTGGGATAGGCGGAACTTGCTCGACTCCCAGATCAAAAGTCTGATCGCCATCGCCGCGATTGGCTTGCTCAGCAGACAGTGGATCAGTCAACCCTGCTGTGCACGCGGGTTCAAATGATTTGAACGCGACGGACCAGGGTCAGAGGGAAAGAGCCCGGCAGACTGCGAGACGAGTTGCATTGGCACGTACGCTCTTGCCGTGATTTGAGAAAGCCTTCACACGCCCTTGTTGCCTTGGTCCCATCCATCCTGCATTTTGCATTTTGGATTGAACCTGGTTCCATTTTCTGCACGCCGTTCAGCTTTGTTCTTCGCCCTCGGGCCAGTGCTGCCTGTCCATGGGAGCAAGGGTCCAGTGGCAAGGAAAGGGATGGAGGTGTGTGATTGATGCCTCTCCTCCTCAAATTGAAAATGATGTCCTAGTCCCCGGACTCAGAGAGCGCAGACGGGACCTTTCGTGACCATGTTGAAGGAGCCCGAGTCTTCATTCACCCTTGAGCCCTTTTGGTTTTCAACCGCAGATGCGCAGGTCGGGTGGCCTTGTTGAACTGAACTGTTTGTTGTGGCTCCACTATATCCTGGCGTCTTTCCCCTCTCCAATTTCCCTGGGCCGCTTTCAATTCGTCCACTGGAAGGCCACAACCCACTTTCAAGAGCTTCTTCAACTGGCCAAGGCCCCGCCCGGAGTTCCATTCCAGAGCAAAGTGGATTCTGTTGCCTTGAGGTTGCATGCGCTGCTGACGACGCCCCTGAGCAGGGAACAGCTTCAGCCCGACACGATCATTTGAAGCAACACCAGGCTGGGCCCAAAAATGGATGCCCCGTCGCTCTCTCATCTTCCGGCATCGCTCGATGCCAACAGAATCCACGCGCTTCCAGCCGCCGCATACTACATCGCAGACTTCATCAGTGAAGAAGAAGAGAAGGCTATTCTCCAAAAGGTAAGGTACTTGGTAGCTTCGTTCGCTTCGATCGTGCGGCAACTCAAGGGCGCCCGAGCCCCTCTTCTAACCGAAACACCGCAAACAAAGGTTGAAACCGCACCCAAGGCGAGATGGAGACAGCTCACCCACCGTCGGCTGCAAACTTGGCCCTCGGATCTCGTGAAGGACACACTGCTTGACGCGCAACCACTGCCCGCCTGGCTGGAAACTCCCGTCGTCTCGCGCCTCCTCTCCATCCCACTCTCGGACGGCGACGAGCCCAAGACGCACGTTTTTGCGAATAGTCCTCACGGCCGTCCCAATCATGTGCTCATCAACGAATATCCCCCGAACACGGGCATCATGCCGCACAAGGACGGCAGCGCCTACTACCCCGTCGTCTGCACGGTGAGTCTGGGGTCTAGTCTCTGCCTCAACCTGTACAAGAGCAAGGAGGATGGCGCACTGGACCCAGCACCGCTTTGGAGAATCTTACAGGAGCCACGCAGCCTCTTGATTACGACGGGGGGGATATACTCGGACTACCTTCACGGCATCGAGCCAATCTCGACCGACGTAGACATCTCGGAGCGCACCATCGCGAACTGGAGCCTCCTACGATCACCGTCCGACTTCCAAGGCGGGCGCAATGAGCGCCAGATACGCACCAGCCTCACATACCGCGACGTTCTCAGGATTTCGAAGCTTGGTAATAAGCTCGGGCCATTGTTCAAGCGGACATGAGCAGACTCGGTTGGGCAGGTCGAGAGAATCGGGTGCGTTTAGTAAATCAAGGGAATCATGTTCCACTTGTTCGCGACTGATTCAGCGCCAAACCTATCGGCGTACCACTTCCGAGTCCCCGCTGCCGTGACCCCGAGGTTCACTACGACGAAAACCACCGCACACAGTAATGTTTGGTTCCACCACTGCCCGCGAGGCGCTGTGGCTACGGCCATGGAGAGGTACAGCAGACACTCGCAGGTATAATGCGGGCAAACGTAGTGGCGGAACATGCCGCCTTCCGGCAATGAATACTTCTTCAGCCCAGCGAGGTGTTTGTGACACCGATACTGCTTCACCCAGGCGAATAGGAATACCGGGATAGCAGCCGCCATTTTCCAGCGCGCGTGCGCATTATCATCTGTGTGACGGGCCTGCGGGTCCATGATGGCATCTGTACTACGGTCAGCCAATATGTCTTCCAGTAAACCAACCAAAACGGGAACCGGGTTTCTCTGGTCGGCAACAAAACAAGATTTCTTCATACGTGATCCCTCCACCCAGACAGCCACGTTGATTGTCAGATAAAACAAAAGCCCCAGCACCCAGTGTACCACCCACATCGTTGACTTTGATGGCCTAATCACCATTACGTGCTCAAAGACCCGCCTCGACCCTTGGAGAAGCATCAAGAGCCAACCCAGCGTCACCTGCTCAAATGTTGCCGATGTTGCCTGGTGCTGCTGGGATTCGGCAGCCTGTGCCTCGGCTTGGCTGGACACAACAAGCCGTAATACGGTCCCATCGGTGAAGTACTGAATCGCCCAAAAGACTGAGCAGGCCACGGACACGGCATAGAAGGCGCCAAACCAGGAGTGCGGAACTTGTGTCCAGGCGGTAAGAACGTCAAGAAGGGAAAGGAGGTAACTCCGAGTATCCTCCCGCTGTGATGTCGTGGGAGATCGTTGCTGTTGCTGTTGCTCTCCGGGATCCCGACTATCTTGCCGTTTCGATTGCTGCTGCTGCTGCTGCTGTTGTTGTTGTTGTTGAGCTTTTCGAGCGCCGTAATCCATCAAGAGGGCCTTTGCATCGCGCGGCATGACCGCTACCGCCAACACGCCCCCGGCCGCGAGGAGGAAAATGGCCTGACAGCATTGGGTGGGTGTGATGGTGCTAGGGAATGCCGCTACGAGGGGCGGTAGCCTTGATTCTAGCCAATTCATTCTCTTTGTCCGGTTATGGTGGAATTTCCTAGTTGGCGTGAAATTTGATGGTCGTTTAGCGGCGATGATGGTTGTTGTGATGAAATCGTGAAAACAAAATATTTAACACAAGGATGTTTGGCCTCGGTCTCACAAGCCTCGGCCTCACTTTCTTCCGCATCGCATCACGTCCGTGTTCGAGAGACACCCAGGCAACCCGCTGAGGAAAAGTAAATTTATACTTTGTACGACTTGTTTTTCTATTTGGTTTTGTTATCAATGTTTGTTTTGTGGCTAGATAAAGTGTTATTGGAAAAACTTGTCAACACCTTATTTGAATAAATATGAAACCTACCATATGAAATTATTAGGATAACATATGTCAAACTTAACCAACCCCCCCTTGAAAACAACAGACATAGAGCAAATGGAGGGGGAATGTAAATATATATCTTGATAGCTTTGTTGTCTCGGTCTTTTAATTACTCCTTTCCCTTAGTACTCTTTTTTCTCAGCCATCATCCCAAGTGCTCTTATGTCTACGTCCGGGATGGCGGGGTTGAGAGGAGTGTTTAACCATTTAAAGCCATTCACCAAGGGAAGGCGACAGAAGTATCAAAGTCATACGAATGCTCTTGTTCGTCTAAAGGATATTCCGGATCGGCGGCGGCGAAATACTGACAACTGGTCTGAAGGCGACAGGTTTTATATCGGCTGGCTGCTCCATAATGGAAATGATGCGGGCTTCGTCAAGAAGGGACACAGGACATGGGAAGTAGGGGTAATGCAAGGACTGCAGGTGAATCACAAAGAATAGCTAAGACCGCCATGGGTGGGAGGAAAATACCAGGAAGAAAAGGTCCTGGGGATCGGAGTTCTTTGTCACTCCTTCGTTGGTGAAGGTAGACGACGCCCACGTGGACCACGGGGGAGCCACTAGCGGAACACTAAGGATGGTGCTTTGAGATACGTCTCTCGCGATCAGAAATTTGTTGGTATACTACATGGCGGATTATAGGCTTTTGTACAGTTACTTCAAGTGAGCCTGGAGGCTTTCAAGAACCTGCGTTTCTCGTTAGCAACTGCTGACACTGGTCTTGTTACTGGCAACAGAAACATACCTCCAACTCAATCTTCGCCTCCGCAATATCCTGCTCGCTACCGCTACCGTTGGCGACCTTCTGCGCCTCCGCAATCTGGGAACGGACAGCGTCCGGGTTGAAATCCTCCAGCGCGTAACCCTCAACGGCGTTGATGCTCAGCGCCGAGTTGGGCTGAACGACAGCGAAACCACCGGAAACTGCAAAAAACATTACGTGTAAGCCAGAATGCCATATGTTCCCACCGCTTGATAGGTGCTTCCATCTTTCGGGGCCGTGGGCGACGTACGGAAGAAACGCTTGGTGCCGCTCTCCTCGATAACCTCGACAACGCCAGGCTTCAGCTGCTCAATCGATGGGACGTGGTTGGCGAGCACACCCATTTCACCGGACTCGGCAGGAATGTTGACCTGGACGGCATCGTGGGATTTGTAAATGGACTAGAAAGATGCGGGAATAAAGAATCAGCTTTCTGAAGTTCCGCAGGCCACATTGATAGTCGTGTCTGTTGTTCTCGAGGGGGCCACGGAGGCATCAATGTATTCTTTCAAGGTTCGAGGCACCGTACCTGGTGGGGAAGCGACAGGCTGAGCTTGATCTATTTGACGGGGGGTTGACATGTTAGGAGCTATTCGTGGAATCGGGCGGCTGAGCAAAACTCGCGGGGGGATTGACGGCGCACCTTGTCCGACACGGCCTCCGCGTAGCCTCTACGCTGGAGAGGGACACGGGCGGCGACGGGGCGAGCCCGGAGAGCCGCACGAGCAATACGGAGAGAGTTCATGGTGGTTTTGCGGTCTCAATTGGCGTGCAAGGCGTTGGCGAGGCCACTGTCGTTCGTCGTCAGAGCAGATTTGGCGGGTGGGCCCAAAATCGCTTAGCCGGGATTGTCCGGGTCGCTGCGCGGAATAATGTTGGTACAGATCCGTGGGAGGGGCGAGAGTGGGCATTGGTTGTTTTGTTTAGAGCATAGCCTCGAGTTTATGAAATAGACCTGATAGATACATAATGTGATATTATACAGTATTTCCTTTTTAGAGCAATCGTTACCAGGTATTTCCAGAAGAGGACCATTCATCACAGCTCCGCTGTTTTCCGTTCGGTGCCGTCCGCCGTCCCATCTTACCGTCCGTGCTTGGGAAAGCCTCCTGCCCGGGTCTCACCGTGACAACACACAGCTTGGAACTTGCGCCAATGATGCGTTGGACGACGCAGCGGAGCCTCACGCTTGTGAAGAGTTGGTGACGAGCCCCAGCCTGTTCGCCTTCTCTCTTCGGCCCAAGGGCATTAGGGGAATTTCACCACGAATGCTGCCCAAAGATTGCCCAATATGATCGGCCGTGGTACTCGGGGCATAGTTGCTTTGCCATTGGTGGTCGTTAGTTTGCATGACTGGTGATGAAAATCTGGAGGTTGCGAGTCGTGAAGGTGCTGAAAATCACCTGCCACCGGCAACCGGCCCACGAGTTTCAGGGCACCTGGGTCGGAAACGGCACCACCACCTGAGCGCTGATCAGCAGTGAAACGGGCCTGGTAACCCGGCTTCGGCGATGGGCCACCTCGGGCCCGGGACTTCCACTTCCATGTTGTTCCCTCGTTCTTTCTCTCCCTCGCTGATGGTTGCTGTGACAGCCAAAGAATCGGCGGTCAGCAACCGTCTGGTGTCGGGTCCACGGGCTTGAGTAGCTCCCTATCCATGATAAGTCGAGTACCGGATGGAGTTGTTGGACGAGAGGGCGCGGGTCAGCGCCAGGAGGGGTCATCATTTTGACAGGCAATGTACGGGCACTAGGAGCTTTCAGTCGCTCTTCCACTTTCTTACACCCAACATCACCTACTACGTAAGTGCACAATAGCTGTTGGCCGATGAGGAGAAGCAGTTGACTCCTGCTTCGTCTTTCCAGCTTTGCGGTATCACCCGTCCACTCGCTTGTCTTTCGCTTCTCTTTTTCACATGGCGAACTCAGATCCGGAATTGATGGACCGAAACCCCCCAAGGATACATAGTGGTTCCAACAATAGCGCAAAACCCAGCTGTTAGTACATATGTATCGTCTAGCAGTATGTAACAGGCCCTGCTTGCGTTTTTTTGGCTCCGGTTGGGAGCGAAGCACGTTCAACTCTCACTCCAAATGAAACGCATGACGATGATCCCACGCCACGGGACCGCACCAAATGCGGGGTCGTCTGGCTTCGTTTCATTCCCTTGGTCGCCCATGAACGACGATCGTGGGGTTTGACCAGTCGCACTCTAGCGTGGGATTGGCGAAAGAGGGTTTTCTCGTTGGATGCGACATGCGACGACGACGGCCCCTCCCTTTTTGGCCTTGAAGGGTCCTTTAATTGGGGGGTTGAGGGTGAGACGGGGCGGCGATGCGGCCGACCCTGTGCCTGTTGATGATTTGATTAAGGGACTTTTTTCTTCGCAAATGGGAGAAGAAGAGAAGAGGGGAAAGAGGCAGAGCCAGAGTCAAGTGGAATGCAGTTTTGCCAATCCGTGACACATACAATGCGAGGTTTGAGGGGACGGCCATCCTGATCAGAGAGCGTTAGCAATGAGATTGCAGCAGGCTCCTCCGCCTTTGCAAATGCGCATCGCTTGGCTCGCTCGCTTGTTGTCGTTGGAGCGGGTGCCAACTCGTGCTTAGCCGGGCGAGCGAACAGCAACACCACGATCCACTGTAACGCTCTTCAAGGTGGGGGTTTAGTGCGTCTCGTACAGAGTACTACAGTAGCATGCTGCTGTGTCCGCAGTATTACCTCTGAGTAGTTAGATTGCAGGGAAGTGGGGGACACGAGCTATGCTCAAATAATTCGGAGCATTTTCTCTCACTCCCTGCCTGCATCGGATTTCATCTCGGTCGACATGGCGATCATTCACCGCGCATCCATCCTCCTGTCATGATTACCGTCCGACTCAAGCGGTCGGTCTGTGATTCCATTACATAGTAGTCCATCAATCAGGGCGGGAACACTCGGCCGCGCCGTGGCCCGCTGCTCGCTCGAATTTCGCAGTGTGTCCCCAAGTGTCGTTTCTCGGTCCTGCTGGTAGGTCTTTATTTGGCTAGCTCGTTCCACTGCAGATTCACACACCCAACGACAAGTCCGAGTGCAAGCCTCCTGCAGGCCTCCCCCTAACTCAGATTCGTTTTGCAGGTGCAGCGACCTGCAGTCAGCTCATGTCCGTCCTGGCTTTGGTGAGCTCTGCAGGAGGTGTGGGTGACAAGCGAGCGTTGACGAAGTCGTCGCGTCTGCGTTTCGGGGCCCCGAGTTTTGGGGCCTGGTGAACCTTTTCCATGCCCTCTCTCGGTGTTGTGGAATTTGTCGGCGCTTCGAGAAGACACAGTGGCGACTGGCTACCCGTTTCGAGAAACGGTGTTTGCGAAAAGTTTCTGCTCACTGATATTGATTCCGGGGAACCGCTTTTCCTCTCCGAAATCTGCTCGACGCGAACTCGGGGCTGACTAGGTCTGTTCAAACCTCGAGCGACTGGCTCAACCGAAACGTTGCTTTCTTCCAGGGGTCACGGAAAGGAAGCGACTGAAGTGAGGCGAACTAACAAACGTGGGCAAGAGGAGTGGACAATGGACAGTTAGTTAGCAGTCAGGTCAGGGGGCGATGTGGAATGCGCAACAAAGATTGGGATGTCCGCGATTTGTTGTCCAGTTTTACCGAGGGCTCCATAGGTATGTACATAGTAATTACGTTAGGGAACGGACCTGGGGCAAACCCGCGTTATTTTGACATTGGTCGCAGGCGAGGCTGCGCGGGTGCGTTTGCGGGTTCTTAGGGAGGGACGTATTTTTTTTTTATCCAACCGACCCAGGTGGAACAAAGACAAAGTGTGGAACGCGTAACGAAGACGGTCAGCACGCTAATTTGCGACAAAACGTGGAAGGCGCTCTGCGCAGTGAGACATGCAGCTCAGACTTCGGTACGTACATAAAATTCCCCGCTGGGTGGGTAAGATGTTGGACGTTGCTGAAGAAAGGTTTGCGGAACCTGGTTGGGGCTCCTCGTGATGGTGACCTCAGCGCTAACAAACCTTCTGCAGCACAGCGAGCATGCCCTTCAATTCCATGCGCTCCACTCACACATCTGCTGCTCAATGCAACCCGGCAAACCGGCCTTTTCCCTTTCTGACCGCCATCCCACGCCCGTCCACTTCGCCATCTCATCGCCAAGTGTTAGTGCCCCGGTCTTCGGGGCCCTCTTTTGTGGCCAAGGTTGCACCCTGCATTCACTGCCCTCCGACTGGCGCTTTGTGCTGCTCCCCCTTCGACGGTGGCACGAACGCACCAAGCGCTAGAGAAGAGGACTCCGCTGCTCAAAAAACCTGATATTTTACCGCATTTCTTCCCACCACCGAATTGCGTCGTCTGCACCTCCTCTTGGATCGTGCTTCCCCCTCCCGACCATCGCTTTCCGACGAACCTAATATCCGGCACTCTGACGCCCCGACGTCATTTCTCCCACCATCCGCACAAGTGGCCGCCTTCCCCCCGACCACCCACGGCAAACCTTAAGGTCGAGGGCCGACGACCCTGCCTTGTAACAAAACCCACACCACACGACCCGGCCTACAACTTTTCAACCATTGCTCGCGATGGCTCTGCGCTTATAGCCCCACGGTCCTTAGGGACACCATCTTGTACGCCGATTACAAGCCATCAGCTCCGCAGACTGCAGCAGCGACACTGTAGCCTTTGAGCGCCGTCCTATTGCAGAACGGACCACCACAATCGATTTTCATCGGCCGAACACCGCGCTTATCTCCCCCATAACTCGACTCTCTTCTCCCTGGACCTAGCGAAATACACTCGCCAACCGTCAGATCTGTCCGACAACCCTCACACTCCACGCTCTCTTTCACCATGGAGCATTACACTCCGCGGGACCACGCCACATCCAACGTGCTGGCGTGGACCACCACACACTCTGCCAACGTTGAACCATCAATGGAAGAAGACGCGGGCGCAGACGCAGACGAGCCACCCGACAATCTTACCCCCATGGCATTCACGTCGACCCAGTTCCGCCGGACGCCCGTCCGGCGTGGCAGTGGACATCATGAATCGCTGTTGACCAAGGCATTGCAGAGCCACTCGGAGGACGAGACGTACGAGTCGGAATCGTCCCATCGACCTTGCCGAAGAAGGTCCATTACAAGCAACACCAGTCACGCTTCAACCGCTGACCTTACATGCGGCACTGCCAACACCACGCCGGCGCGCACCAACTCACCGAGTCCTCCTTTTCCTAATATCGGTTTCGCGCCCATCTCTACGGCCACACCGGCTGGCGCTTTGCGTCACGGGGAGATGGAGGTGCCTGCTGCGGCCAAGAAGCGCTGCATCTCGTTTGCCTGCGCTGCTAAGCCGAGACTCGAGGAAAAGGTGTCGATACTCCCACAACCCAAACCTGTTCAGGACGGGACAAAAGCAGAAGGAGCTCCGAAGAAGACGACCATTAAGTTTGCCTGCTCGTCGCAGCCCCCGGAGGCAAAAGATCCTCAGCAACCGGAACCACGCCCACGCACCCCTGTGGCGCGGGTTTCGCCCAACACGCCCAAGGTCTCGCCGGCCGGTGACAAAGCGCGCGCTGGGTCCACGATCCGCCCGCCTCGCTCTCCGACGCTGCGCAGGACTCCCAGCAGCCCGGTTGTCCCTCGGAACAAGAAATGGCTCACCGCGAACGCGGGGGTCCTGGAGAGTGAAAGTGCACGGTTCCACGAATTTGCCAGCGATGAGCAGCAGGAGGACGATTGGATCAAACACGACCATTCCTCTGCGAAGCCCAAGCTCACAATCGATGACACGCTCAGACAAGAGAATGCCATTCGCAAGCTAGGCAAGGAAGCAGAAGAGGAGGCGGAGCTTGAAGATGAAATCGATGAGGAGGATGATGAAGAGGTAGATGACGGCGACCTTATTGACGAGGATGACGAAGAAGAGGATGAGGATAACGAAGATGACGAGGACAATGACGAGTTCGATGAAGACGAAGACGAAGCCGATGAGAATGAGAACGAGGACGATGATGAGGACGATGATGACGAGGCTGGCCCGACGTGGGCATCCGAGGCCTCAGACGGGTACAAGACGGATAACGAGATTGGGTTTGCCGATTCGGATGATGAAGACGACGGTTTAATCCTTTGGACAACTCGCATCGGCCAGTATCATTCTCTATCTGGTGCTATGTCTCAAACGCGGAGGCTGTCACTGGGAGAGAAGTCGGATGCTTCCACCGCTTCGGACAATGGATCGAGCCCGTCTCGGAGGAAGAGGAGATCCAAGGTACGCCCGGTTCCCGTCCGTTCAGAGACGCCCGAGTTGCCCGACAGCACGGATTTTGTCTGTGGCACGCTGGACGAGGATAGACCTCTGGAGGAAGCGTACATCTCGTGCGTGGAGGCCCGGAGGCGGGGCCGGCATCAGCCTATCCCCCAGGACATCGACCCTAGTTTCCCCACTTCGGAACCGGAAGACGAAGTCGATGAGCAGCCGCACCGGAAAGGTTATGGCGAGAGCGATGACCACCTGTGGTTGCATGGCGAGCTGGAAGATCTTGACCAAGACCGTGATCGCCGAAGCCGCAAGAAGAAGGGCAGCGAGACATCGCCTAGGCGGTGCCGTTCTCCACCGCCGAAAAGGCGCCCTTCGCCAGCCCCTAAAGCGCGCGGTCGTTCTCCACGCAAGCCATCCAATTTGCGGTCCCCCAGGCTGCGGTCCCCAGCACCTCTCCACAAGACATCCAAAGCACCATTCTTGTTCCCAACACACGAGGCCGAGGGCATTGCTTTCAAGTCCCTGGCATTCCGGCCCGGTCTGACACACACCAAGTCGTTGCCTAGAGCGCCCGGCATGTTCCCTCATCTCAAGACGCGGAAGCCGAGAGCTGGGGCCAACACCAACACCAACACGAAAGATACCACCCACGTCCGTGGGGCCATTGACATCGTTAAGGGACTTGAGCAGAAGCGCCAGCGGCGCAAGGAAAAGTACTTTCAAAAGTATTATAACCGTGCTCGTAAGGAGAAAGCACATGCAAAGCGGCCACCTCCGGGACAGGGGGCTTCGCGCATGAAGGAGCTTGGCCTCCTCATTGCCGGCAAGGCTGGACCTGGGAATTATGTACTTTCTATCTAAGACGCAGAAAGACAACGGGAGTAAATGGGTGGGCGGTTACTTCTGATTATAGCATTCACATTGCGGGCATACACAACATACCCCGGGACATGCATATGGGTGGTGGCTTTTTGGTTTTGGGTGGTTATTCATCATGACTTTTCCCGGTTTTTTTTTTTTCCCCTTTTGTTGACTCTTACGATTTGGAGCTTGGGTGGCTAGCATTCTTATTCGTTTTTTTGGTTGTTTATTTACTTCACCTTTCATCACTGATGGGATCCATTCACCCTTCTTCCTTTGTTTGAGGTGGTTTTTTGTTTGTTTGCACTTGCTGTGTACATGCTTAGTTTCTTCAAGACACCAGGCCACGAAGGCCGAGGGTCGAAATTCAAACAGTACATACCCTCTCTTGAACTCCTTCCTGAACTAGTTACGCGTGTAGAACACTGAGTGATGCATGTAGACCTGAGATGAATGATTGTGTCCATGGATGAGGATGTTTGCCCGGTCCGGTCTCGCAAACCCTCCCTTCCGAAATGCGGTGGCGAAACAAAGGGAAAAAACATTTCACAGCACGCTCATGAGCCCCTTTTGGGTCAAGTGCAACTTTTCTCGCCTCATAAACCAGGCGTTCAGTCTTGCCTTTTTTTCGCTGCTGAAGTGGATCCTGTCTATGTTGGACCGTTGGTCCATGCACGACGCCCCCTGCAAGCCTGGCCCATGGTCCGGGCGCCTTGCGCCAGCTGCCGCCTCTGGCCAATGCGCCTCGCTGGCCAATTCCTGCCAGCTTTTGGGGGATTCGATGCGAGGTCATCTTGACGGGAAACACACTACCGCCGCTCACCACCAACCCTTTTCCGCTGCAACCCTCTCCCATATCTTCTTCACCATCCCTTTTTTTCCTACCCCCCCAGCAACAACTACGATAACTGCGTTTAACGAGAAACCGGTTTTATCAGTGCTGTAAGGTCCATTCCTTCGTGGCCGGATAATATTTCGACAGAGATCTGTTCTCTTTTCTCGACACGACATCACCGACTCGACAATTCGGAGACCGCCTCTGCAGACACCGACAACTCCGAACATCGCCCGCCATGTGGATCATTAACTGGTGTAAGTACACCCATGTCTTGATAATGAATTACCACGGACTGCGACTGCAGATGCAGTTTATCAGCGGACGTCGTCATCCGCGGTGTCTATCTTTTTGCATTGGGCATGGAGGAGAGAAAGAGAAGAAGAAGGCCGCCAGGCGCGCACGCACGCGATAGAAAGTCATAGCCTTTTTCGCTTGCTAACGATTACATCTCCTCCCAACGTAGTCTATGACGTCCTCTCGTCGCTCGGCCTGCTCAACAAGCACGCCAAGCTGCTGTTCCTGGGCCTCGACAATGCCGGCAAGACGACGCTGCTCCACATGCTGAAGAACGACCGCGTGGCGATTCTACAGCCGACGCTGCATCCGAGTTGGTCTTCCCCTACACACCGATATGCGACTGTTGGACGGATAGTTTGAGGAGTCAGTGGGCTAACGGGTGCGATAATGTAGCGTCGGAGGAACTGTCGATTGGCAATGTGAGGTTCACAACTTTTGATCTGGGCGGTCATCAGCAAGGTATGTGCATCCATGTTTTTGAATTTCTTCGGTCCTCAGCGCTCTGGAAAAGCCGGTCTAACTTGTGTCCCTCTGTCTAGCCCGTCGCCTGTGGAAGGACTACTTCCCCGAAGTTAACGGCGTTGTCTTCCTCGTCGACGCCAAGGACCACGAGCGATTCCCCGAGGCCAAGGCCGAGCTCGACGCGCTCCTGTCGATGGAGGAATTGTCCAAGGTGCCATTTGTCGTACTCGGCAACAAGATCGACCACCCGGACGCGGTGTCGGAGGACGAGCTCCGCCACCAGCTTGGCATGTACCAGACCACGGGCAAGGGCAAGGTGCCTTTGGAGGGAATCCGGCCGATTGAGGTGTTCATGTGCTCGGTGGTCATGCGGCAGGGGTATGGTGACGCCATCCGGTGGTTGTCCCAGTATGTGTAGAAGGCTGCTTGGAGACGTCGGCGTTAATGGGAGTCATACACGGGGGTTAGGTTGCGTGTGGGAAACCACCAGAGACGGCGGTGCTGGAGGAGAGAGTTGTGTTGGGATTGCCCCAAGGAGACGAGGGGGGTGGCGGTGAAGGATGGCCAAGTCTATTGGGAAGAATAGATCGAGACTTGTGTCACTGTGGGTGTATTTCGTTGTCTATTGATGGAGCTGGCGCGGGTTGGACGCTTGTTCGCTGCATGGTCCACGGGCGCTGCTGGGGAATATTATTACTACATCTAGTCTCTCTACGACACGATATGACTCGGCTTTTATACCTATTGTGTTTTTGTCCTAGTCGCTCCGTGCATCATCGTACCTATTGGACGGGACGGTAAAGTCCATGTACCAGTATTTTGTGCTTTGTTGCTCCCATGGCCTGTTATCTGACCCTTGCATTCGTCGGCCGAGGCTCGGGACGAGATTTACATTATGCACAACTTATCGACCGCCCGATATCAGTATTCTAAACAAAGCATGGGGCCGTGGAAGCACCCATTGACGATTGAAATCAAAGCCAGGGGTTCCTTCGCCACTAACTCCCCCGAGTAGTCCGTTTTCAAGGCGTTCTCCCTCTCACATGTCAATGGCGAGCACATGTTCCCGTCCCGTCCACCAATTCGCATTTATGAGGCCCACTTGTCGGGAATCGTCCACTAAGAGAGCCCGCTAAAGAGAACCGCGACAGAGCCCGCTGGGGGAATCAACCGCCGGGACTGGCGACGTCATTCCACCCGCTCATGTCCAGTCCCGTCCGGTCTACCTTCCACCATTTCAGACCTACTCGACCTCGACATTGACCTCGATCTCGACCACTCGACTTACCTCGGCTCACGTCCCCCACACACCTCAAAGGAAACGAAACAAAACACACGCAAGCAAGCAAGCAAGCAGCATAGTTAAGCGAAACCTAAATTTAAGCACGATTAAATGTGTATTTTTGAGTCACCAACGTACAAACAAATAACCGAGCGAGCGAGAGAGCCATCGACCGAATAACTACGCTTTCGAATCGTCGTCTCTTTGCCGACCCCGTTTTCCCTCTTCCGCCCCGTTTTCTCCCCGTTCGAGCCGCAAGTAGTAGTAGAACTACAGCTGTGCTTCGTTTGGGGAGTTCTCTTTCCGTCCGGAGTCCGATATACCTACCGACAAGTAGTGCCGAGGACCGCCCACCACACCATGGCCGGCCCAACCGACTCGACCGGCGCAGAACCACGGCCCAAAATCGCCGTCCCCTCGCGCACCTACGGCTTCCCCCCAGAAGCCTTCGACTGGAGCCGCCTGCCCGACGTCGACACCAACTTTCTCCCACCCGAACACATCGAGGCCTTCATCCAGGCCCTCTCGGCGCCCGACCCGATCCCGCAAAGCCCAGACGCGGAAGACCCAACAGGCGCCACGTCGTCCTTCCGTCTGAACAGCCCTGGGTACCGCGGGTCCATCACTAGCTTCGATATCGATCTTACTAAACGTGTCGGGTCGCCTGGTGCAGGAGACCTGCCTGATGACGGGGAGCGGGACTTGAGAGATGAGGCGACTGAGACAGTTGCACCGACGCCTGGGCCCGGGCCGGTGACGTCGTCACGGATAGCCAGTCGCCAGCCGAGTTCTAACAGTTTGTTTATTTCGGCGCGGAACGACTGGGCACCAGTGAACGAGAGGATTGTCCGCGGTAGGGGGGACGGTAAGGGGGGTGAGCCGAGTAAGAAGGGCAAGAAGAGTGGTGGGAAAAGGAAGACGTCAAATACACAGGCCCGGTCCAAGGACGAGACGCGCGAGGGGTATTTTTACGCCCTACTCAAGTGGCCGTTCCTGTTGTTTGCGACCGCCTGGCTGGTGGGACTGTCGATAGGGTATTTGGCCACGCGGGTGTACATTGCGTTGTACGAGCAAGGCGTGACGTGGCGAGGGAAGCGCGAGCAGATACGGCGGGCGATGCGCGCGACTGGCCGATACCGCGACTGGGTTATATCGGCGCGGCGGATGGACGACTTCTTCGGGAACGGGCGTTGGAAGGAGGTGGATGACTACGCCTACTACGACAGCAAGACGGTGCGGCGCGTGTTGGGGGAGATTAAGCGGTGTCGGCGACAGGCGGAGAGGGGGAGACAGGGCCAGCCGAGCGAAGAGAGCAGACGCGCGACGGAGGAATTGAAGGTGCTGATTGAGGCGTGTGTCAAGAATAATTTCGTTGGGATAGAGAATCCGCGGCTGTACAGCCAGACCTACTATGGGACGAAGAACCTGGTGCAGAATTTCATTGATGAATGTGAGTTCAACCACGCGGTCGGAATATACAAAATCAAAGATTGTAGCTAACGCAGGAGTAGTGGAACGAAGCATCCAGTTCTTGATTGAGACGGACCAGCTCTCGAAAGAAGAAAAACGCATCATGTTCAAGGGCATCTGCGCCAACTACGGTCGCACAGCACTGTGCCTCTCGGGCGGCGCCACCTTTGCCTACTACCACTTCGGTGTCGTCAAGGCCCTTCTCGAGGAAGACTACCTCCCTGACATCATCACAGGCACGAGCGGCGGTGCGTTGGTGGCGGGTCTCGTGGCCACCCGCACCAATGAAGAACTGAAGGAGCTCCTAGTGCCGGCGCTCGCGCACCGCATAACAGCCTGCAGCGAGCCCATCACGGTCTGGTTCCGGCGCTGGTGGGCGACGGGTGCCCGGTTCGACTCGGTCGACTGGGCCAAGCAATGCGCGTGGTGGACGCGCGGATCCATGACCTTCCGCGAAGCCTACGAGCGCACCGGGCGCATCCTCAACGTCTCATGTGTGCCGTCCGATCCGCACTCGCCCACGATCCTATGCAACTACCTGACCAGCCCGGACTGCGTCATCTGGTCGGCCGTGCTGGCGTCAGCCGCCGTGCCGGGCATCCTCAACCCCGTGGTGCTTATGATGAAGACCCGGTCCGGCCAGCTAGTCCCGTACTCCTTCGGCCACAAATGGAAAGACGGCTCGCTGCGCACCGACATCCCCATCCAGGCACTCAACTTACACTTCAACGTCAACTTCACCATCGTCAGCCAAGTCAACCCACACATCAACCTCTTCTTCTTCTCCTCGCGCGGCTCCGTCGGCCAGCCTGTTACGCACCGCCGCGGCCGCGGTTGGCGCGGCGGATACATCGGATCGGCCACGGAGCAGTTCATCAAGCTCGACCTGAACAAGTGGCTGAGACTGATGCGCCAGCTGGAACTCCTCCCGCGGCCCCTCGGCCAGGACTGGAGCATGCTCTGGCTGCAGACATTCGGCGGGACTGTCACGATCTGGCCCAAGAGTATCATATGGGACTTTGTGCAGATCCTCAGCGACCCGGACGAGGCGCGGCTGGCGCGCATGATCCATGAGGGTCAGCAGAGCGCGTACCCAAAGATGCGATTTGTTGGGAACCGGTTGCGGGTTGAGCGGTTGGTGGAGCGTGGGAGGAGAGAGAGTCGGTTTGGAGATGACGGTGGTGGGGACGGTGACAACAACACTAGCGGTGCCCGCCATCGTCTCCTGAACAGGGGTAGCGACGATCGTGGGGAGGGCAAAAGTAGCAGTGGTGGTGAAGGGAGTAGTAGTAGCAGGGGAATGGGCGGCGGCGGTAGTAGGACAAGAAGGATGAGCATTGAGAGTATCCTCAGCGAGGACGACTTAAGGAGTCTGCTTAAGAAACGGCGCGTGGTTAGGGATGGGGCTGACAGTATCTCAGGCACGGAAGAGGACTATGATGAAGAAGAGGAGTATGAGGAAGAGGAAGGGGAAGAGGGGGCAGAAACGGATGGTCATGCTCGTCGGTATGGAAATGAGGATACGGAGCATGATGAGCATGAGACGGAGCGGCGGTCGGACGATGAGGACGAGGGGGGCTTGACGATGGCGACGCCTATGGGTCTTGCGGGTGCTGAGACGACGCAGTGAGTGAGTTCGGAGGCTGTGGGGCGGTGAGCGGGTTTTGAAGAGGGCGTTCTTACAACTTTTGAGATACCTAAGAGGCGGGTGTTCTTGGCATAGTTACCTAGGTGAAGTATCCATAGCATTGAGCGATTGTAGGGGGCGAACTGGGATACCTATATGAGACTCTCTTTGTGGCACATTTGGTAGAGCGGAACGGGACTGGGACGGTTCTTCCACAGTGTGTGAATGCTCGACACGTGTGACTGCCATGGTGTGAAGTGGCTCATTTTGAGTGTTGATAACCGGTCCCGACTGGTTGTAGATATTTCTACACTTGACCCAATACCTCATGGCCCAAAACTTTTCCCTTGACAAACCAAGCCTTGCATCTCGTAGCTTAACTTCTAACGTAGAGTACAAAAAGCCATATCCTTTGGTAGTAAATGGTAGTAAAGACCTGACCGTTCATCAAGTCCTTGAAACCTACCATCTCCCTCTCTCCTTTCCATCCGAACCCCCAACCCCCGTCCCAGTCCCAGATTCTGCTCCTTCCCTCCCCAGCACCACCAACCACCCCCATATAAGCCCGCTTCTCACTCCCCTAGTCACCAGCTCCTCCCAATGTGCCAAACAGCGTGTTTGGCCCAGCGGTATTGGGAGGAGCATCGCCGGTACTGCCGTAAATCGAAGTGGCCCCGGGTTCAATTCCTGGGGCCAGCGAAGAAAAATCTTTCACCGGAAAGATTTTCGTAGCTACCAACCGCTATCCCTCCGGATGGGGATAGGCGCTTGGTGGTGAGCTTTTTGGGGGATTTTCATTTTGGGGTTGTCTTTTTTTTATCTTTTCTTTCTTTGGGTTTTCTTCATCCTTCCAATCGTCATTTGATGTGCATTGTTCTCGTTCCTTTCTCATGAAAAGTTCCGTTATGACAGCAGTTGAGTTTTGTTATTATCTCAATTCTTTCTGGCCTTATGTTATAGTTATTAGCATGGGTAGCTGTGACCTGTCAATTATGCGGGTGAGGGTCGACGTCAAGATAAGCGGTCGTCGTTGAAGGATCAAGGAGAAAATAACGGGTGTGAGGGAGGTAGGGGAGGAAACCTTTTGGAGAATGTTATAGGGGAGTGAAAAAAAAGAAGAGGAGGAGGAATAGTCGTTCAGCGCCTTATATCTCTTACAAGCTAGTTGAAACACGCCATGATTCTGCACGAGCCAAGTCCTCTGTCGTCAAAAACTCGTGGACAAAGAAACTGGTCACCTGAGAGAAGGAAACAACAGTCATATGACAAGGGGAATGACTTCCTGGCTGGCTGACTAGCCCATCGAAACAACACAGGGGAAAAGGGTAGAGCTCCCCAGAAGCTGGACGTTTCCCTTCTTCCTCCAGTGTGTTCTTCAAACCAAAGCAATCAAAATAAAACAACGTTAGGGCGCTCCAGGCCCTTCACTTCAAACCATCCACAGAACCGCACTTTCGTAGGCCGATAGTCAGGAACACAGGTATGTCACACAGATAGCCAAACCGTGGCCGAGAACTTCCCGTCCAACTCACTCAGCCCCATCCCAGAGGGTTGTTAAACTAACCCATCGATTAAAAAGGAGGGAGAAAGGCGCAGAAAGAATTCTCTAGGGGGCAAGCATGGAAGGCTGGAAGCATCCAGCGGCAGTTCGGGCTGCCTACGTATGCTTTGTACGTACAACATCAGTTGTCTTGCCATGGCATGGCGACGTTAGGCATGCGCGTCTTTTTTTGTTAGACCCCGTGTCTTGGCAAAATTGCTGGTCAAAACTTGCCGTCCTCGTAGTTGGGGACACATGGGGCAGCAAACGTGACCTATGCGCGATAAGTAGTTGACTATGGACCGGAGCAAAATTCAGCGAACCCTTGGCTCTCCAAGGCACTCGCTGCTAGGTCAAGCGGAGTTCTAGCAGCCAAGGCGAAGCACGACTTCGATTGACGCCAGACCGCCGGAGACACGGACGCGGCGATCCCCAACGTCTGCCGGCCCTCCGTTTCCCACGCTCGCTTCCCCGGCCGGAGTTTTTGTTATTTTTCTCGGCAAGGGGCCCAGCGTCGGCTTCACCGGTTGACCGGCTCCATCCCAACAGAACTCCACCCACCGACCGGCATTCGTGTCAGTGATCGGAGGCTCAGAGTATCGTTATGGGAAATCAGATACGAAAGGATCAACGACTCGCAGAGCTGCGTGGTTGCTTGACAGACTACCCCCCTCAGCGATCAGGGGAGGAGCACGAATGATAGCGATGAGAAGGAGATAATGGGGAGGGATGCAAACGAAGCCTCAAGGGAGGAACCAGTGAGTGGAATGTTGATATCAAGTGGAGATGAACAAGAACGCATCGACAAGGTCAGAGACAACCAGCGGTGAAGGCGCAACGAACAAACGAGGGAACAAACGGGCGGTCCGAGACCGACCTATCCACCGTCTCTGTCTGTCTGCGCTTCTGGGGTCGTTTACCTTCGGAAGGGAGTCTCACAGGCTTAAGAGAGATACACAAGCAAGCAAGCCAACCATCCCAAAAAAGGAGAAAGCAAAAAAAGGAGATACGCGTGTAGAAACAACAGGGAAGTAGATGACGATGTCCCAATCGGGTAGAGGCCCCGAGCAGTGGCCGACCTGAGTCCGGGACCCTTACGGAGTCCTAGTGTACGAATACTATGTCCTAACTTGTTATTGTTTTTCCGAGTTTGTGGAAATAAAGTCGACTACATTTGATAAATTAACGAAATGGAAGGATGGATTCAAAGCAACGTCGCGGCGGGTTGCCTCACACGAGGCAGAGCTAATTTGGAGAAAAGGGAGTGACCTTGCAACCCTCGAGAAACACTCATCATCCGATTCTGGGTAACTCACCCAAAGACCCGAGTCACCGATTGGGCCCGAGGGGCCGAGGGAAGCGCATCCTGGGAAGTCGCGGGTTAACGTTATCTCACTGCGCAACCATTGCTATGTCTTGCAGGTTTCCCTCTCGGGCTTCTCTGCTCCGCCACGCCGACACAAGGAGACGCGAGTCGCTTGACTTCGTCGAGGTTGGGTTCCCATGTCCAGAAAGTTGCCCATGACGGGATTCTCTGCCCGGGCAGGCGGAAAAGATGGGAAACAGAGAGCGGCTGCCGCCCTTGACTCCCTTCCCCACTACGTGTTCAAGGAGTCAAAAGTTGTCCCCACATGCCAGGAACGCCGGCAGCCGAAAAACTGGGGTTGAAACAAACACGATGGGACCATGGCCCGTGCTCGCCTTGTTGGCTGCGGTGCTGGTTGCTGGGGCGAGTCGTGAGAGCCAATCAATGCCTGGAGATCAGCAAAAAGCAATCTCCGAGGAGCCCCACTTTTTGCTGAGGATGCGGCGTCTGTTGCCCACACACCTCGCAACATCAGATGTGAAGGAGTGAATCAGGGGTAAACAGGTTTTGGGTAGACGAAGACACAGCGAGAGGATTGGGAAACGCATGTTCAGTGGGTAAAAAAAGACGTTCATAGCAAGTCGTTCCATTGACAATGAACGCCAAAAAAATGAAATTAGAAGATTAAGTACATAGAGGTATCATGCCATGCAACCGCTGCCTTCCAGAAGAACTCAGAATCCGCAATCAAATCCCAACCACTTCTATCATGGCAAGGTCCCTCCTGCAACTCTTGAACTTCGCTCCCCAGAAATGCTTAACAAAAGAAACTCTCCCGTCAAGGGCTCAAGAGCCTATGTGGAAAAGAGACTCCATTTAAGCCATGAGGGCGAAGAGGCCGGCGGCAGCGGCGAAGAGAGCCGAAGCGCCGTAGGTGGCAGCGCCGGCAGTCTCGATGGGGCCGCCGGGGTTGGCGCCAGTGGGAGAGCCCGAGGGGGTGACGGTGGGGGTCTCGGTGGCGCAGGGGATGTCCACAGTCTCGTAGATGATGGTGGGGATGACGGTGGTGATCGAGGTCTTGATGGTCTTGACCGAGGTGGTGGGGCAGGCCGGGGCGGCGGACTCAGTGGTCAGGGTCGAGACCGGGGGGATGACGGAGCCCGACGGGGGGAAAGAGGCCGTAGCGGTGCTGGCAGGGCAGTTAGTGCCGACCTCAGCGGCACAGGACGTGACGGTGTAGTACTCAGTGGAGTAGACGGTGCTGGTAGCATCATCGGTGGCCATGACGGCGCCAGCGAGGGCAACGGCAGCGAGAGCGAAACGCATGTTGACGGTTTGGGGGGGGTGTTCCGTAAAAACGAAGTTTGGTTGTTGAAGTGAAAGATTGACGAAAGCTAAGAGCTTTGATTGAGCGTTTTGAAAGAGTGGACGACCGAAGTCAAAGAGCTGGTTTGTTTGGCTAGTTGGAGTTGGAGCTGAAGAAAGAAGAGAGAAAAGAAAGCAACTTGGGGATGGGACTTCAGGACATTGTTAAATAATACCACGACCGGCGGTCGATCCTTTTCCACCTCATCCTGTTGCCCACCGCTTCGCGCGAGACTGGGAGACTGGGAAATTGCCCTCAGCGCATGCTGGCCGAATCGGGGGACGCTAATCCAGGGGTTCGGTGGAGGAGAGCAACATTGGAGGGTTCAAGGGAGCTCCGCAGTGGCGGCCGACCGACGGCGCTCACACAGCTGGCCAGTGACCGCCGAGCACGAACAAGCTCCAAAAAAATAGCCCAACCAGGGGGGGGAAGGGCATGAACAGCGTTTGACCAAGCAGCGCACCCCGGCTTGCCCGGCGCGCGGAGGCGAGAAACGGCCGCATTGCCGCTGTGTCTTGCGCTTGCTCTCCTCCCTTCCAACCATCGCTTGTCCAAGCTAAGATTTTGACGGCGTGCGCTCCGTTTCTGGGTTGGCGGCTGCGAGGGGCGCTTCGGCCGTCCGTCAATGAAATCGAAGAGCACCAGACGCATCTGAGCAAGACAGTCTCATAACGTTACCCCAGCGTCTCTTCTGCTCGCCAGCGTGGGCTTTGGGTTGTCCCGCTCTTTCCGGGGATGCAATTTCATCCAAAACCTCGCATTTACCATCGAGACAGGAAGGCCGAACAAGGACCTTGGGATCCATCATTGACGAGGCTAGAACATTTCGTCGATGGCGGGCTACAATCAACGATAAAAGCAACCTAACCTATCATGGACTCGGGGGGTTGAGGTAATTACATTCCTCTGGCACTGGTACGAGGAAGTCACGATGCAGGCGGGTACGGTTTGCTCACCAGCGTTTGCTTCCTTCCGTCCACCCCGCCGTTCCACCTGGACTTGTTTCTTCCAGGAAGACGTATTCCCCGTCTTTTCCTTCGTTCATCCCATGTGCGAACCCGCGTACACCCATGTTGCCGTCCTCCGTGCATGGATGCATGGACCCTGGAGCTCCAGTTCAAGGTTAAACAAACCTGGCCAAAAGTCAATCTTGCCGCGGCGTCTGTTCTTGTCCCACGTCATTTCGAAATCTTGAAAATCAGGGGGATATCCTGTGATAGCCCCACTCTCATGTCCGTTGTCCCAATTCCGCCTTCGAGACTTCAATTCATCATTTTAAACCCACTTTAGAGTCGATGTTAATTTGGGGGTTTGCAATGTCGTGCCATGCGTGTGGAAGCTCACACAGTTGAGTTGACACTCCCGTCTCGCGTCTCTTTTCAAAGGATGAGGCCCGCAGAGCCATTTTTGGGGAGTTTGTGGAGGTTGCCAGACCTTGTGAGGCGCTAATGCAGGTACCGTTGAGAAACTCGCCCCTCATTCGGCCACGAGCCACTGCTCCCCTCCCTCTCGGCGAAACGCTTTATTAGAGGGAATGGGGAAATACAACCATCCATAGGGGTGGCCTTTTTAGGCCCCCTCTTTCGCCAGCGGTGAGAGAAAGCCCAGCCATGCCGGACAACTATTTTTCAATGTGAGAAGCCCTCAGTTTGAAGGTTTGATAGAGCGTCTCGTTGCGGATGCAGTGCAGTCCCAGAGTACCCTAAATTACTGTGTAACTCTGGGTCAACCGAATCATCGCTTCTCGACGTTTGCCGAGTGACCGTGGCCGTCCAGCGAGCAGTCACCCCACTGAACGCACGTGTGGTTGAGGCGGTGGAGGGATCGGCAACGCGATCGGGGGTTGGCTGTTTGAGAGAAGTTGAAGGAGGCAGATCCATTGGTAGCGATTTCCACTCTTCCTCCGTCTCATGCCACCCCATTGCATTTCCTTGTTTCCGTTCGAGAGAAAAATGGTCGTTTTGCCGCCAAATTTGGACATGCCAAAAGATTGCGCCGAAAATCCCGCCCAGTCAGATGCAGATGACCCTAGTTTTCCCCTGAGCTTCCGGCGGCGCCCCAGCCATCCCTTATTTTGGCGCTGAATACAACAAGGCGACGGACAGGCGGGAGTCAAGCTCAATGGCCACAACCAAGAGTCTTTCAGCTCCACCGTTTCGCGGGGCGAATGTTCGAAATCAGCGCGACGCGGGTTTCGATACTACTAATAACTATGTAGTTATATGACTGACCGTCGCGCCCAGCCCAGGGGATCAGAAACGCTGCATATGAACTGCATGTTCTGTCACGCCTGTTCCCTCGCGCCTACACACGAAACAGAAAATTGCAGCCAGATTCTCCAGACATGCACACCGAACTTCAGTCCCCTCGCACTCGTCACATGACCTGACTAAGCGTCACACCACCATGGCGCTCGAGACGCCGTGTTGAGGCCGCCCGCCTGCGAGCCTGCTCCGATCTGCTCTTGGCTTGGCCCCGGCGGCACGGGAACGGGACACACCTCACGGTGAAGCCACACCGATGGTATTCCGAGTTCATGACGAAGGTGTGAAATTGGGAGTGCCGCCAAACGATCACCAACTGTGTCTTAGAGTGGTTCCCAGAAAAGGCCCCATTGTCTCTCCCTCGGAACGTTAAGTTTGAGGTGTTTTCCTTACAGAACCTACATCAAGCGATGCCAAGTATTTCTGCGCTGATTCTTCACTATCAACGTTCGATTTTTCACGCGGATGGATTGTGGACAATGTGTTGGTGATGGTTGAGGCATGGTGAGTTCGGTACGGGATACAGCTTCAAACGCTGTTTCCCAATGTGGTCGTCGGAACAGAATCAAGCAGGCGCGATCTCACACTCAGTGAGTGAGCGGGGTTGATTGTGGGGCCAAGCCGGTCGTTTCTCCTCACGGACAGAACTCGAGCAATGTTCTTCAAACCCACACCAGACAGCCGAAGTCCTTGAAACTCGACACATAACCGGATTCAAGGAAACAAGGAAAAGAGGGGAAAAGGCGGAACACTGAAGAAAAGAAAAACCCGCATAAACTCACGACGAGATGTCATAAGCCTATTGCTGAGTGGCCCGAATCATCTCTCCCTTTGCACCAGGCAGCGGGCGAAATTCTGCTAACTGACGGCAGCGAGACGAATGAGGCGGTCTTTGGGGCGAACAAATTGCAACAAGGTGGAAACGCAAGGTCAACAGCGATGCCCGTCAAGTTCTAGCACGCAAGCAAATGCGAGGCACCTCACCGGGCTGACCACACGCCGACCCGGTCTGTCGGATTGTCCACTCATCGGCTTCCTTTGGTCGGCAACGCGGGATGTTTTGCGGGGCACTAAGCAGACACAGCCATGGCCGCAAAAGACGGTCGGCCGCTCAAGGCTGTAGCTGGCCGGGGTTGAACGGGCACGATCGGGTTGTGTTGGTTTGCCAAACCCAACAAGCCTGATTGACCCGGCATCCTCAATCTTGCTTCTGACGGCCACATCGCACCGCCAAGCAAGCACGGGCTTATCGACGCTGGATTTCTGACCGGATGCAGCTTCTTGTCGGGCCGGATTCGGAGTCTGCTCACTCCTCGCTCACTTGTTGGTTCTTAGTTTTCGCCGAAAGCTACTTCGCCCCATTCGCTTTGCGGAGATCTTCCGGAGAGGAGCTGTTGACGACATTGAGTGAACGCGGGGCGGATGTGGTTCGCGGCGCATCGCGGGGCAATGAGCCGTGGGGCGACCGGCCTTGAACTCCCGGCTGCCCGTTCTCCTCAGATGTCTCGCCGCGCCAGCAGCTTGCGGCGCGCCCATTCAATTGGACGGCCATGCTCATGCAGGGGTCCTCAAGGCCTTGAAATCTCTCGGCCTTGAGGACTTCGAGGACTTCGAGGACCGCAAAGTACAACGGCTTTTGGTCCGTGCACGCCGGGGCAGGACTGAGGACGGGACCGTAGGGGCGGTCCTGGCCTGTTACAACGCGCGGGGAGTCCTGCAAGGCGGCCGCTCTATTCTGCTGAGCCTCTGCGCAATCTTTGCGCAGCCGGCCAACAGCAGCCTGGCGGTCCCACGCCCATCCGATGTGAGCAAAGTCGTCCAAAATGGCGGCGGCCGCCCAATTCCTTGCCAACGCCCTTTTCCCCCGCTCATCGCATCGTTTGCGCTTGTCGTCCCATGGGGGCCAGAGGCGCAGCACACATGGGCCGAATATAAAAGTCAGGCCCCGCCAAATTCGAAATCTGAGGTACCTCGTCACTTTCACTGGGACGAGTAGCCGACCACCACCGCCTCGCCCAAAGCCTGTCCATCCACTCAGGACACGGCTTATACATAAGGCTACGGGCTACTTGACAGTCACTCCCCTCCACGCAGCCACCGTATAAAGGAGGCCTGCGCCGCTGCCTGGCTTTTCCCTCCTAGCTGCAAAGCATCTCGCGTGGTCCCTCACCCACATCCACCTCCCTCTCCCACGCGCTCACTTGGTTCTCTCGCCTTCTCAGATACGTGCAGAGATCCCGACCATGTCTCCTATCTTATAGTTTCCGCAGCTTGCTTCCCTGGGTTTTCTTCCTCGGTTTTCCTTTACCCCCACGGCGCTGGATGCCTAGATCTTGGTTCTCAAGTGACCACGCGCCCTCTTCCCACGCCGCAGAACCGGTCTTTCAGCGCCCCACACCTTGATCGGATTCGTTCTCCTTCCCTATCATCATCGGGTTCTCTGTCCTTCCCCCCTCTTCCATTCGCCCATCGTTGAAAGACGAGTCACCCCAGGCCTTGACAGCCTTGAGCTATCCCAGGCCTTCTCGACCACCCGCCCCCTCGACATCTTGCCTCCGACTCACCTCCTGCCGACCATCGCCACGGTCCACGGTCTTCATCCTCGCGCTCGCCTTGAGTGACACATACCGCCTGCCTCGCAATGGCGTCCCAGGCACAACCGGACGTTGAGGCAGTCGCACTTGTGCATGCCTGCCCTCAGTGCTCCAAAACGTTCAGTCGTGTTTGTGACTTAAACAAACATTCCAAGTCCCACACTCGGCCGTACAAATGCAAAGATACAAAATGCAAATACCATACTTTCGGCTGGCCGACGGCGAAAGAGCTGGAGCGGCACAACAATGACAAGCACTCGTCGACCCCACGTACCTTTCGTTGCCAGTTCCAACCTTGCCCCTACTGGTCGAAGCGGGAGTCCAACTGCAAGCAGCACATGGAGAAGGCCCATAACTGGACATACGTCAAGAGCAAATCGAAAGGAAAGCAGACGGCCCTGACCCAGAGCAAGCCGAAGGACACGACAGGCAGCCCGAACCAACTATCCCTCCTTACTGGGGCCGCCATCCATAACAGCCCGAACCAACTCACTATCCCTACTGGGGCCGTCATTCATAGCAGCCCGGCATTTTCGGCCTCGGCCTCTATCTCGACACCCGCGTCACCACACTCACTAGCCGGCCCCCCGACCACTGTGGATTTTGTTCTATTTGACGACCAGGAGGACGCCGAGGGTGAAGATGACGACACTCCCCTGTACACCCACTTCGGGAACGTCCAGGAGCCCGATTCTTATCTCCCATGGACATCACCGGGCACCCGGCTGCGCGACAACGAGCGAATGATCCAGCATTTCAGCCAGGCTTACAACTGCATGCCAGGGACTCTGATCCCGCCAACTCACCTCCCCGATGCTAGACTTGACCCTGCTCTTTCCAACTTCGCAGCTCTTCCGGCCTACGGCTTGCCGTACTCCCAGCCAGTCGGCGACCACGGTCATTTTGCGAACGATGCCGCGATCAAGATCGAATCACCGATCGACATCCCCGTCGACGACTTCTTCCCGGCGGACGGGGCAGTTAAGAGGAAGCACGAAACTCCCGAGAACCACCTGACACAGCATGGTCAGGTTCAAGCAACCACTGGGTCAGGGCCGAGCGGTAACCACACAGCCGGAGCCGACCGACGCGCTCCGGGCAGGTCCAAGGCTCATCTTGCATCGGCACCGGGCAATAACAGTGGCGAGGACGGGTCCCGCCCCAAAAAGAAGCTCAAGTCGAACGATACCCAGGAGTTCACCGACACCAGCATGCCGGATATCTTTCGGCATGCCCACCCGGACATCTAGTGAGTGATACACCCCTCAGTGGCCCGCATGACCAGCCAAAGTCGCTGACGCTTACCATTGGACAGCGACAGAAACCGATCAGATAAATACTCACCCTGCCACACTCCTCATCGAGAGATCTCAACACTGGTGTGAGTATCCTGTTTTGTAGGAAACGCTTCTCAACTATGCTGATCTTGGCCCACAGTCGGCACTTGAGCAGACCAGCCCATCGCCTCACGGTTACACCGCGCGCTATTTCCTCCTTCGACCTTGACGATCCAGAGTTCAGGCACCCTAGGGTCGGCGTTTGCCGCTTCTGCTGGCGGTCCTTCAGCAATAAACTCGAGTTCGATGTCCACGTATCCAGCCCTTGCCAGAGAGTATCTCGAGGCAAAGAGGAGAAATGGCGGGTTCTGCACGACAGCTTCACGCCGCTTTGCGACCCTGCAGACACGATTGTCCCGGCCACCCAGCCAGCACAGCAAACCGGAGACGGGCACAACGCAGCTGACGGCCTGGAGGATTCACTTATGGAGGATGTCGGTGGTGACACTAACGGGGCCGACGAAGCCAGGACACCTTCAACCTCGGTCCCATCGCCTGTGCCTTCTCACACCGACAGCTTCCTCCCTGCCCCTATGAATGCCGACCAGATCGTTTCTGTTGATGAACATGGCCGGCTTCAAAGAGAGCACGAAGCTTTGCTCGAAAGACACCAACAGTTAGAGCAGGTAACCCGGGTACTCCTGATCCAGCGGATGATGCAGCAGCCGAACTTGAACCATTCCACGACGACCACGAATAACACCGTCGTCAACCCGGGACCTTCAAACGCCCGGTCAACCCTACACCACTCCATCGTGATGAAGGCTCTGTTGGATCGGGACAACCTTGTCCAGCACATGGACTCCCAGTCAACTGACGTGGACGTGCAAGGCTTCATGAATGAGATGGAGGACACCCTCAGCCACCAGTCCGCCGCTGGGTATGCCTCTGCCGCCTCTAGCGCCTCCAGCTCCACTATCCACCGCGTCCCCCCGAGCCCGCCGTCCCAGCCTGCTCAACTTCCGGGTGACAGGGTTGAGAAAGCCACAAGTCATCAAACCACCACGGCACTTGCCTACCGGCCTCCTCTCCCGTCAATTCCCGACTCCGGATACGGGACCGATAAGCGGCGTGGTAGCCTGGCCGAACTGCAGCAGGAAGCCTTGGCTAAAATGGTCACTCCGCCGTCAAGTGGTGAGGCCGCCGAGGCCTCACAGGCTGATGTAGCTCCTGGGGTAACGGAAGCAACCACCGCCGTCGGCCTCGACAACATCCATGCCAATAGCAATAGCGCTACCAGCAGCAGGAACTCGGGATACGATTTAGAACTTTCCGGGGGGGCGACCCCGCCTCTGCGACGTGTCCAGCACAAGTTGTCGCCGCACCACAGCCAGAGCTCGGATCTGTTCCTTACCGAGCAGGAAATGGCCAACTACCACGATCCGGACTACAACGGCTTTTACCAAGACTCGAACGGCCAGAACCTGTTCAATCCGGATCCTTCGCTGGACGCATTCGGCTTTGAGTTCCCGCCGTCGCAGACCGAGTAGATCCAAGCCGGATGGGGAGGGCTGTGAAAAAAAAAGGAGAGATGTTGAGGGAGGAGATGCAGATGGGCTGATGGAGTCGGTGCTGGCGCTGGCTCTTTCGGCCAGACCGACGACTACGTCTTGGGCGATTTTCTTTTCATTTCCTATTCTGTCAAACTCAGTTTCCTCTTCCTCATTTCCTTATTTCTTTACGTTTGTGTCTCCTATTTCTGTTTCCTATCTTAATATAATCAACGGCCCTTACGTCGGCTACATCTTAAGCGGTCGCGGTGCGTTGTATTTTTTCTTTTCCCTTCTAACTTTTAGCATGCCTCCCCTCATGGCCTTTCTCATTTTCTTAACTATTTTAGCATTCTTTCCTTGTATTACTCATGAAAACGGACGTGGGCCGACGATTGAATGAATGGGGGGGCGGGGGTATGTGGGTGGAAACGACAAGCCGTATGTGAGACGATGACCGATACGATTTTGATGTCTACGACCACCGTATACATACAAGCTCCGCAAGGGGTAATATTGGGAGGCACGCAACGGCACGCATGAAACGAATACACAGCACTCATCCCCGCTACTGTCACGAAGCAGAAACAACAACAAAAAACAACCGACTCTCTCCTCACGAAAGCAACATTTTTTTCAAGCGTCAAGCGACAGCGGGTTGCATATCTACTTGTAGACAATGGTGGTATCTATTCATATATAACTAAATATATGACTTTTGCTTGGGATGTAAATGACATGAACTACTGTGTATCTATGTATTGAATTGATGCCCATGCCTTCTCTCCCCCCAGCTTCGTCGCTCATTGCCCAGGCGGTGCTTCGTAAAACGGACCAATTATTAAGGAAACAATGATTACCTCCTATTACCGTCATGTCCCGTTTTCCCTTTTTTCGAATAATGAACATACCCACTTAGGTAATATAAATGAGTTTAAATCAGCTCGCGAGCATCGGTTCATCCAATTTTTTCGTTTTCTTTTTTTTCGTTTTTCCCATCCTTTCCCTAGCCCCCTGTTCCGCGTTCCCCAGCCCTCAATCCCAAAACCGCCTCTCAACTGCTACAAGTCCCATACTTGGGCTGACATCCCAGCAACTCGATACACGACAGCGAACTGGACGTGCACTTGTTGGACGAACTGCAGCACTTGCCAAAGGTGCTACCCTTGCAGGTGCGGTTGGCGCGGGAACCGCAGGTACCGTCTGTGCTGATGGGTAGGCCGGTGGAGGATGGGGTTGAGGTGGTGGTCTTTGTGGAGGAGGGTTTGGTGGAGGTTGAGGTGGATTTGGTGGATGATGATGAAGCTGGCGGCTTGCTGGTGGTGGAGGAGGAGGAGGTAGTGGTGGATGATGCCGGGGGCTTGGTCGTGCTTGATGTTGCTTTAGTGGTCCAGTAAAGTTAGTACGGCGAACCATCATTCGTTTTTGATCAGGAACATTCTATCCCCGCATCATAGGAACCACTTTCATCTAACCAGGGGGTAAGGAGAAAAAGAAAGAATACTCACTTGGAGCCGGAGTCGTCGTCACTGAGGACGCCGAACCCCCGCTGCAAGTACCCCAGTCGGGCTGGCACTTGTCAGGCGAGCAATAGTCGTCCGACGAACCGCACCAGCCAAACACGGAGCAGCAGTCGCCCCACTCAGTGCCCAGGCAGCTCACGCCGCGGCCGCAGCTCCCGTCGGTGCTGGTGCCCGTGCCGGTGGGCTCGAGCGAGATGGTGGTGCGGGTCGGGCCATCCCCGGGGTCGACGGGGCCGGTGATGGTCGGGAGGGGGACGGATGTTGTGGGCACGGTGACAGAGCCGTCCGGGCCGGCGCGGTACCAGTTATCTACCGGGTCGCCGAGGCACTCGCCGACCGTCACGGCGTTGAAGCCGGCTGCGACTAGGGAAGTGAGGATGTAGTCGGTCAGGTTGTACACGGTCTGGTAGTGGATGTCGTGCTCAATCTGTAGGTAGTTGTCAGACTCCGGGTCGGCGCCTTTGATGGCCGTGTCCCAGATGTCCTTGCTGGTCTGGATCTGGGTGGGATCATCGTGGAGGTAGCCCTCAGTGTCGAGGTCGAAGTAGATGGCATGGTAGCCGAGGGTCTCCAAGATGGTCTGGCAGTTTGCCTCGCAAATCGAGAAGGGCGGGCGCATGTACGCCGGGAAGAAGCCGAGGATCGAGTTCAGGGCAATCTCGTTCCAGATCATCTGGTTCTTGAATTGGTCGTTGGTGAGCTGGCTGGCGTTTTGGTGAGACCAGGTGTGACTGGCGATTTGATGCCCGTCCGCGTGCATTCTCTACAAAGCCCGAGTCAGTTTTGGTCCGTCAATCGTGGCGGTTGCAAACACGGAAGGAGGTCCTACGCGGATGATCTCAGGGTAGATGGTTGTGGGGTCATTGATCTGTCCCTTTCCGATGTTGGTACCGGTAATGAAGAAAGTAGCTTTGGCCCCATAGCTCTAATATTCCACGTTAGCTTCTAGAAAGTGACGAAGCACGGGGAAGTCCTGGTGTCGAACCTCTAGTTTGTCAAGCAAATCGTTGGTGTAAAGGTACGGCCCGTCATCAAAGGTGATGGCAATGTCACCGGGGTTGACGCAGTCGTAGATACCCTCACCTCCGTAGAGGGCATCACCGAGTTTGGGCCGTGCTACCCCAGATGTGTCGAGACCCGCAGGCTTTTGATTCTGTGAATGCTGTTAGTAGGCTTCCTGAGAACAAGGAGGTAGTGAGGCTTACGGCATCACAGCCGGAGCCGTAGTTGATCTGGCAGTCAGGGGCAGTGCAGTAGTCGTAACCTATTCCACACCATCTGCCATGCGGGTTAGTCTACCGCCCCTCAGCAGCATACCGAGCGCTTCCAAGCAGACTCACCCTTCGGCAGAGCAGCACTCCCCATCAGCGCAAGCCCCGATCCCCGGCCCGCATTGGTCATCCTCGCCATCGTCCTGCCGGCGTTCCAAGCTTCTCCCATTGGCATGCCGCGGGCCGGAGGGAATCTCCCCAAAATCCTCTTTCCTCTTTGCTACCAGCTCCGAGAGGAACTTCCTCCCCCCCAAGATCTTTGGGAGGTGCTCGCTTCGTTCGCTGTGTGCCACCGCTAAGCCAACTGAGGCGGCCAATAAGGCACTGGACAACTTCATTGTGGTGGTGGGAAGAGGAGCGTCGCTATTATTTTACACCCTAGATGTTGGGAAGGATGATGCGGTGACGTCTGCACACCCGAGCAACGTATCGATGAACACCAGATATAAGTGAAGGAAGGACGAACGAACGAACGGACAGAGTCTCAGCTGAGAGAGACCACTGGAGTATATCAGGAACGCGATTGAAGGGGGTGCGCAACGAAGGGGGGAGGGGCGCCAATGATATTAAGCAAAACACAAGGTTCCCACATCAACGCCAGCCCTCAGCTTGCATGCAGTCGGGGAGGGTAGGGTAGGGTCGCAGAAGAAAGCGATCAGAGGCAAGACGCAGTCGGGAGAAGATCCGGGGGAGCTATAAATTGAATGGACGTGGGAGATGCCACATTACCGGGGGCCGATGTAGCTTACCACGTTGCGAAAGGGCGCTTCCATATTGCCGTCCTTCTGTTCAAAGCAGGGGAGTAGTATTGTAACGTCGACGGGGGCCCTCCAAAAGTGCCTTTTTGGCCGCCATGGGCCCTCCGATCGCTCGGGAAGCCCGAACCAGGAGAAATGGCAGCTCCTCAACGAGGATATGCAAGGCCCCCCTCTCCCTTTTCCTTTGCTAACCCATTTGGTGTATGAGAGGACGAGGTAGGTGAAGAAAGATGCCACTACAAACGGGAACGGGCTCGCCCTGCAAGCCTCCCAATAATCACCAACCCCGAAGTCGGGAGAGCAAGGGACGAGACACATTATTTCCGACAGGGCGAATGGAAAAACGTCAACTCATGCACGAGCAATATAGGAAAGGCCCTCGAGGGGCTGGGCGTGTGGGTAGAGTGTCAGTAGCCTCGCATGCGGCCACCCTTCAGATATTGGGACGACATCAAGCCCGCAGCTGTCCATGCAGGTGCTGGGTTCGATACGAAGTTGCGAACAGATCCTTTCGGAAGTCCTGTGCCCGCGAGCATGTTGACTGCTGGGAGCGGCGTGAACGACAGGAAAACGTGGGCGAGAAGGGCGAGAAGGACCAGAAGAAGTCGGAAAGACGGCAGAAGAGCGGGCAAGGCGCGTGCTGATCAGCCCAATGGCTTGCGTGGCGAATGGGGTGCTTCCAGGGCCGAAGGAAAGGACCACATCGGGCGACTCAGAGTTGAATACCAAGACCGCGAGCTGGCAAAAGTGAGCTGCCGTCTTCTGCAGCGTCTAGGATCCATCGGACGCCTTTCCGCTGCAACCAAGGGTGGGATGCGAGGGTGAAAAACTGCAACGATCAGCCGCATGTTTTGGGGCGGCTGGTTTCCGGCAGATCTGGAAGGAAGAACGGGATCCCCCTGCGCGAGGATCTCTCGACCAAGAAGCTTGGTATTCCCGCAAAGACAATGACGCGGCAAATATCCTAAATGCGCAGAACGCCGCCCTGAAATCACGACATTATATTCCGGCTGAAGTGGGAATGGCCGATTCCCCTGGACCTGCGGACCGGACGGGTGGTGCACCGGGAACCGGAAGCGACCGTTGAGAGTTGAAACTGGGCTTAAAGAAAACAAAAGCTGACCAAGCCCTCCTACTTGCAGAGACAGAGGTAGGGTTGGCTGATGTTGTGCACATGAAATCGACTGGCTGCCTGACTGACTGAAGGAAAGTGCCATTCTGTTGATTTTCAAGTCTTGGCGAAAACCAGTCCTCAGAGCCACACGGTACAAATATGGGATTCAATTGGGCGGCCACAGCTCGGGAAAGAAAAAGAACAACTTCGGGGAAAAAACACACAAAAACCCCGTGGGTTCCTTGCTATTCTTGCTTCTAGCTGAGACAAATCGGGAAGCCACAATGATCACGAAGGGCCTGGTCGGGCCTCGAAGTCGACCACGTCGTGCCTGCTTCACCATTGGCAAGTTCAGCTGGGAAGGCGCTCCACGCCAGGCTGTTTCTCGGCACCTGCATCTCGATCCCCCAGTCCCGGACCAGGTCCGACCTAGATTCATCACATCCACCACACAACTCGGCACTCGCAGCCAAGAATTGGCCCTGATTCCGGGGCATTGCCCTGGCTCGCTGTGCTTTCCCACGGCATGGCATGATAATCACCTCCCTTGGTTGGCATAGTGTGCTGCAAAGGCGTGTGTCCGGGAGCTTCAGCTCTCTGTCTCACCGATATGCAGGCTCCATGGGCACGGGCTGCACGGAACCTGCTGTGGGGTGAAGAACAGGGTGGAAGAGAGAGAGAAAGAAACAAGGGAGGAAAACGAAGACGAAAAACAAAACCAACTTTCATCGCGGGACCTACCACCCCCACTCAGCTCGTTGGCAACGGGACCTGCCCTAACAGCGATCGTTACGATCCGTCCGACATGACCAGCGTTAATGACAAGCTGACGCGCCCCGCGTCTTGTCATACCCTTCCTCCCCGTCTAGGTCAGCTACATAGTATTCCCCCATTGCCCTGTGTGCCTTGTTCGTGCAGGTTTCCTCCTGCAGCACCAAAGTGCATTACTACCCCACCAACCTCGTCTTTGTGGTTCTTGTTGACGAGCGCCTGGCCAAGCCGCGAACGACTTACCGGCCCAAGGCAACCCGCATTTATTCCCCATCCCCTGCTGCTGTTCCCGTCCAACTCGACAACACCACGTCGACGCCCGCTCGGGACCTTCGCGAAAAGACACCCTAGAGCACAGCACGGCTGGCCGTGGTAACGTGCCATGCAGGTTTCAGTCGACGAGCAGCAGCAATTCCTCAACAATACGACGCTGAGGCTTTCCACTTACCTGGTTTACTTTGGCTTTGTTTTTATTCCCGTCTTCTTTTGCCTGTTCTTCTTGATGACAGGCAGATCTATCTTTAGATGTTCCTGTGGCACCAAACGAGAGACATTATCGACGCCAACATTGCGTGGCAGCCAAGGAAAGAAGTGGATTCCTCGGCTGCCGGTGCCCGAGAAACATCACGAAAGCGAGTGGGTTCTGGTTGACGGGCCCGGGGGCTGGGCCGTCGAGCGGCACAAGACAAGGAAGGGAGACACGAAGATGTGTTCCACCGTCTTTGTGTTGTGCAACTTTGTCCACAAGTTGTTGTCATTCTCGAGAGGCTGGCTGACGGTAAGTCAACCCCGCATTAAAACGCCCTCAAGCATCTCGGGTCTTACGAGAAGGAATCCTCCTTGGACTTCCCGCTCTGAACGTTACCGGTGAAAACAACGTTCCTTACAGTCGACAATTTATGGATACGAGGAACAACGGCGGGAAGCACCTCAGCCAGGATGCCACGGCGTTACGCCCACCGTTCTAACCAAATTATCGTGTATATACCTAATAGAAAACAATAAAAAAATAATACACTCGTCAACCACCTTCCGTCACTCATACACTCATCGTCTGCATTTCCCCTCCCAGCTACCTCATCCAGCCATCCATCCATCATCAGAACCATCATTATTCCCAGCTCTTCACAACCATGGAAGCCTTTTCATTCATGCAACCATCGCCCCAACAACCCCCGCAAGCTCCCCAAACAACACTCCCTTGAACACCGCCTCGCCCATATGCTCCCCCCACTGCCCCGCCTTCCTCAACTTGTCCTTCCACACCTCCTTCTGCCCTTCCTCCAACTCCTCCCACCCCTTCGCTTCCCCATGTCTCTCTTCATCGTGCCCTTCCACCCGAACAACTTCGTCATCTGCTACGTGGTGTAAGACGACCTTCTTTTTGCCGTTCTCCGTGGCTTCCCCGCTGTCCTGCTGGTGGGTGGTTTTCGCCAGGTCGTGGTACTCCGCGAACAAGTCCCTATTGCTGTCCTCGAACGTCATCTCTGGTGCGTCAAAAAGGTCCGGGAAATCCGACGAGCTGTGTTCTTGCTGTTGCTGCTTATTGAGCTGGCCATTATACCACTCTGGACTGTGCCAGGTGGCAGGCGTGTAACTGCGCGCGTAGACGATTGGGCGTGAGGCGCCGCGGATTTCGAGGATGCCCTGTAGCAGCATGGCGAGTAGAAGAAAGACGATCGAGAAGCCGATGAGGATGTTGGTGGGTGATGGCCGGTGGGATTTGAGACCGAGGACGTGGCGTGGGCGTTGCTTGGTGGAGGTTTGAGGAGAAGAGGGAGGCAGCTGTTTGAGGGGGAGGGTGTGGACGATGCAGGTGTTGGCCATGGACCCGATGGAGGCGAGATGGAGATGGAGGGGTTGTTCTCTTTCTTGTTGTCCGGTTTCGTTAGGTGGGATGGGAAAGGGGGAGAAAGCGACGCCGGAGATTGGGCCAAGGTGGACTTCTTTGAGGGTGGTGACGGGTAGGAGGTTGGCGATGAGGTTGATATCGCCAATGGATTGGTGGTCGAGCGTGTAGATGGATATCGAGCTGTCCTGGCCGGTCGTAGCGATCACAAATTGGGTGTTGTCTTGCTTTGACGACGGCGAAGCTGGGGGGTGCAGGTTGCGGACGGCCAGCCCAGTTGCGCGCTTGACAGTCTTCGGTAGCTTGGCCGAGATCGCAAGCTTGGCTTTCCCTTCTTTCTCTTCTTTCCCAAGATCCGGTCGCTTCGGTAGGCGGAAACCCTGGAGCACGGCACCACCCGCCTTGGCCACATTGGCAACAACCAGGACAAATGTCGGGGTCAAAAAGCGGACACATCGGAACGACGGGCGCTCCCATAGTCCGATCGCCTCATCCTCGGTCAGCGTGTACACGGTATGTGGGCCGCTGGTAGTGGATTTGCCGATGATCATGGTGTACAGTGTACGATCATCGCAGTAGACTAGCTGGTGCTCGTCCTCCGATATTTGTAAAATATCCATATCCATTGCCTCCCTCATCAGCTCCACTTTCCCTCTCAACTTCGGTGTCGTGCTATCACTCGTTGGGGGCGGGATCCCGAAGATGGCGATCTGCGGGTCCTTAGAGCGGCCAATGGTACCGGTAGCGACGGCGCCGACGCCGCCTGATATCCTCAAGAGCCTCTGGTATGCCTCGGCATCTGTGGTGGAAAAGAGCGATGACCTCGACACCTCAGAGATTTTCGGATCACTTTTCGCACTGCTGGGCAGCTCCGCGGCGAACGCCCTGAAATGCTCATTGTTGCCCTTCTTGATCTCGCTCTCGGCGGAATTGATCCCAGCGTAAACCAGAACAGACTTGTTCCGCCGGGCGCCCACGGCAAGGGTGTTGACGCTGTCTTCGTCGCGGCTCAGTTCGATCTCGGACACGATCTGTAGCGAGCCCTCGTGCGATGTATCCAACACGCTGATTTTGTTCCCGACACCGCTCCGTGCCGCACCGCCACCACCTCCAACCACGAGGCGATTTGGATGATCGTTATCGAAGTCGAGGGCGTAGAGAGGATACGACAGCCGGAGCTCGGCCGACGGAATTGGGGGCGCCATTGCGCGTGAGACGGATTCGCGTTTCAACGGTCGTGTTTGTCCGCGTGGGAGACCGAAAAAGGGAACGACGTAGACAGTCCGTTATATGGAGGGGTCCTGAGCAGGATTAAACCGTTATAATAGCTGACGATGGAGGCTGCCCTCGTTTAAAAGGCGAGTGCAATCGTTGGATTGCAGCAGAATGATGATGATGCGCTCGTGGAGCTCCCCTTTTGGTGGAGTTTTGCGTCTTGTCTGTCCTCCCAAGCATCTGTCCAATCAGCAGCCGCCATGTCCGACTCCCTGTCAGCGCCCCAGGTTCTTGGCGCGGACCGCCCCACCCGGGTGGTGACCGGCTTGACCGGGAACGTGGGAGCTTGAAGCTTCTATTCTCTCTTGGCACTTCCCGTTTAGCCATCGCTTGGTTGATGGAAAGAAAATGGACACGGCGAGGGAAATGTGAGGACTAAATAGTATATTACAGACTTTGCCAAATGATCCTAGCAAGCTAAGTTTTATATGCTTGTTCACCTTTCATTCCCCAATATTCACATGGATCGCCTTGGTGTTGCAATACGGTGCAAGGCCAGCCTCGCCGAGCTCCCGCCCAATACCCGACTGCTTGACTCCTCCGAATGGGATCCGGAAGTCGGAATCGTTGCTACTGTTGATCCAAACCATACCCGCCTCGATCTCCCGGGCCACCCTGTGCGCCCGCACCAGGTCCTTGGTGAAAAGTGCCGACCCAAGGCCGTACGTCGTGTCGTTCGCCAGCTCGATCGCCTCTTCCTCAGTCTCGAACTGGACGACGGCCACACACGGGCCAAAGATTTCCTCCCGGAAGATCTTCATGCTGGGCTTTACGTCGGTAAACACCGTTGGCGCGATGAAGAACCCCTTTCCTTTCTGTGGCGCCGGCTTTCCACCTAGGGCAATTGTGGCACCTTCCTCTTGTCCTGACTTGATGTACGACAACACTCTATCGTACTGGGCTTTGGTCACCTGCGGCCCTTGGAATGTGTTTTCCTCGAACGGGTCACCCACGACTGAGATTTCTTCAACCTTGGCCTTGAACCGCCTGATAAAATCATCGTACACTTTCTTTTGCACGAGGATGCGTGAGGTGGCCGTGCAAATCTGGCCTTGGTTGCTCATGATGCCGATGTGCGACCATTTGGCGGCTAAGTCGAGGTCGGCATCCTCGAAGACGATGAGCGGCGATTTGCCACCGGTCTCGAGCGTGATGTTCTTCATGGTCGCCGAAGCCATCTTCATAATCTCCTTGCCAGTGGCAGTGCTGCCGGTGAAGGCGACCTTGTCCACTTGCGGGTGCTGTACCAACGCCGTACCAGCTTCCCGGCCGTGACCGTTGATGAGATTCACCACCCCAGGTGGGAAACCCGCCTCCTTGATCAGGCGTGCCACGTACAGCATTGAGAGGGGTGTCTGCTCGGCCAGTTTGAGCACGACTGTATTGCCGCAGCACAATGCGGGGCCCAGCTTCCAAGCCGCCATGTCAAGTGGGTAGTTCCAAGGAATGATCTGGCCACAGACACCCAGGGGCTCCTTGAGCGTGTACGCAAACTTGGCCGGCCCGGCGTCGATCACCTGGCCAAAGTTCTTGTCGGCATACCCGGCGTAGTACTTGAGCACGTTGACGACCTCGGGAACGTTCTCATTTAGGGCGACAGAATACGGCTTGCCGTTGTCGAGACACTCAATCGTAGCGAGCGTTTCGGCATGCTCTGCCAGCAAGTCGGCGAGTTTGGTCAGCAGAGCGCCGCGTTCGGTACCTGAGAGGGACTTCCATGATGGGTCCTTGAAAGCCTTGCGGGCGGCTGCCACGGCGCTATCTACATCACTAGAGGTGGCGGCGAAGACGGAGCAGATCTCCTCTTCCGTTCTAGAGGACCGTTAGCAAAATGATACTGTGTCGTAAATCCGGTTCACGGGAAGAACAGACGCCGGGTTGATAGAGGCAATCTTTTGCTCGTTGCTACTCTTAACAAATTCGTTGTTGATGAAGAGACCTAAAGGCTGGCTCCACTTCTTGCCATTTGGTGCCGTAAGCTCGACCTCCATTGTTGATTTCCGGGTGCTCTGCTGGGAATATCGTGTGTACGGTCTGTGTTGGCCGGATGAAGAGTTGCGAAAGGAGTTGTACAGGGCCAACCTTCCTGGCCAGCTTTTAAGCGCAGAACTTGATGACCTCCAAGTCAATGGTATGCGCGGCAATAGCACGGCCATTTTTATCTGCATCCGTTTCTGGACGTAGATTCGCCTTAACCCCTCTTCTGCTCTATGCCCCTCCTGTGCTCTGGCAACCGGCTGCAGCCGGGAAGCGATAAGCCGTAGCACAAGCGTGGGGGGGTTCTTTCCGTTCTTGGGTCGGAATCTCAAATCAGGAGCGGTTCAGGTTTCGGGGCAAATGGGGGGAACGGCCGGCCGACCTACCGTTATTCGGGATCTTGTGTTCGGATCGGCTGTCGTCGGTACGAGATAGGTGCTCTGGAAGGGCAGGGCCCGTTTGGGGGTTCTCGCCATATCTGGTTTAGGTTAGTTGGCATCTTATTAATATTGGAAAATAAAAAATACGATTGTCAAAGCTGTTGACAATCCGAATGAAAGGGCGGTTACTGTACTGGTACAGCAACATGACCCCCGATGAGATTAGAAATGTAAGAAAAGTCCGGTAGGTTGATACCTACGATCAAAGGTACGTCCCTGTTCAGTTGAATGTGCAACCGCAGTTCTATCTATGGGATTGGATTTGATTGAATATTGCCTAAAAGGGACTAACTGTAGCTGGGTGCGAGCCGATTTTTAGAGTGGGAGCAAAGCCTTGGCATAACCTTGCGTTTATAGACCAAGCACAAGGTTCCTCCCACAACCCTTCCTTTGAGCACCTCTAGGTATAAAATGATATTGAATCTTCGTAGAGATACATATTTTACCATTTTTCCCGTCCCTTCAACTCCCGTGGGCCGGTGTATGGACACCGTTGGATAACACAGTTGAGCTTACAAGCCAGTGCTTTTCGACAATTCCGGCACCTGCGTCTTGGGGGGGCGGGACCCGATGTTCATTCCGATCTGCAGGGGCGCAAGTCTTCTTATAGATTGAACCTCACGCTGTCTCCTCGGCTGAAGTTTCTTTTCTTCCTTGCTAAACAAGCAAAGACTTGGGCGATTTACTTACGGTCTCCGATCTTGCCGATTGACCCTAACCCTGGCCAGTTGGGTCGTTTGGTGGTCGGCGTGATAAGACACCGAACCCCCGGTCCAGATATCCTGTCTTGTGACATAACAGACCCGCAGCCAGCCTGGAATGCCGGCCGGCTTGCGCCAACTTCCACAATCCAACCAACAAACGAGAAAACCGACAAAACCCCGACCTCTAGATATGCACCATAAAACCTACCCGTCATGATCGAGATACCGACGTCACCGTCGCCCGTACCGTCCGTGGTGTTTGCGCTGGTTGCGCTGTTCTGCATTTCGGTCGTCGCGCTCCTCATCTTGCGATACTACCTCCCGTTGCGCACCACCCCCGCCTACCTCCTCGTGCCCGTCTTCTTTGCGCTATGGCTTCCCGCGAGTATGGTACTGCTGGTCCCAATAGATTTGGCGTCCAGCGCCATGGTCGATGATATTGATGCCCGGGGCATATGGTTGAATTGGGCGACACTCAGGGTGTCGTGGAGGGTGACGTACTGGCTTACTTTTGCGCTGACCTGGTAGGCATCGATGCGCCCTTCGCTCTAACGACCGTGGTCGCAAGCGCTAACTAGCATTGCTGTCAGGTTCATTCTCCCCATACTTGGCGAATATTCCGATTCAGGCTACCGTGAACCAAAAGCGAAGCTCCTCGACTCGCTCCGCGCGAATGCTCAGTACTATGCCATCGTTTTCGGGACCGGCGCCCTCGGGCTCATCTACGTTTTCGTGTCCTACCATCACTTCTCCGAGTCGCTTAAGAGCACCGTCATGGCCCTCGCATACTGCTGGGGTTTGATCCTGGCCATCTACCTCATGGGACACGGCCTCGTCTCCATCCCCCGTCGGTTATTCCGCAACGCCAACATTAGCGGCAGGTTGCGCCGCATCCAAGTACATGCGCCCAGAGTCTACGAGAAGATGGACGATGCCGAGATCGACCTGGAGGATCTTGAGATGCAGGTGGCCGAGCTCAGCCGCCGCAAGGGAGGCAGTGCCAGTTTCTTCCAGGATTGGATTGAGGAGCTGGTCGACCTGACCAACCTCCCCGAGTCGCAGCCCGGACGGGTGAGCGCAGTCAGGGGCTCGGGAAATCAGGGTTCAATTCCGAACGTGATCACCGAGAAGTACCTCGCTGAACTTACTAGGCGTCTGGTCAGGGCGAGACATGCTCGGTCAAGATATGTGAACGAATGGAACCGGTTGCTGGAGGATGCTGTCAAAACGCAAGCGATTCTGGACTCAGCGGCCTCTAAGAAGCTAGATTTTGGTAATGTCTCACCGAACGCCGGCTTTTGGGACAGGCACACCGTCTTCACGCCCTACACGCGCTTCCTGTTCCACTACCACTTCGTTCCGTATCTGCAGCTCGCCCTCGCCTCTACTCTCTCCTTAGCATCAGCTTGTATCGTCTGGTCCGAGCTGGTCAAGGGTCTATTCCCACAGCTTTCCGTTATTCGCTACAGCGTCATCCACCATCAAGTCAGCGGGAAAGGCCAAGTCGGCTTTGCGGGCCAGGTCATTGCCGCCCTGTGGATGGTCTACATGTGCGCATCCGCTCTGATTTCCATCACCGAAGTCAAGGTCTGGCGCGGCCGCGCCCTTGTGCGCCGCAACACCGCCCAGGAGTCGGCGTTTTGGTACGCCAGCCAAGTCGCCCGCCTCAGTGTGCCCCTCACCTACAACTTCATGACTTTCCTCGGCACCATCTACCGCGACACTGTGTTCTATGACTTCCTCGGCCAGCTCATCAACCTCACCCCGCTAGGCACCTGGTTCGACTACCTCTTCCCGGCTTTCATCCTCCTCCCCGTCTGCGCCGCCTTGTTCGGCCTCTACGGCAAAATCAAGCGCGTCGTAGGCTTCGGCGTCGACGTGCTCGACGACGACGACGAAAGTGAAGACAGCGACGCGCGAGGCACCGCCTTCGGCACCGGTTCCTGGCGCGAGGGCCGCGACCTCATCGCGCGCGAACTCAACGGCACCTCGGCCGCCATCCGGGCACGCCGCAGCGACGTTCTCGGTGGCGGCGCTGCGGGAAGCCGTTCCAGCCCTGTCCTCTCCATCCCTCGCTCCGGCCGCCGAGACGGCAACAACGGTAGCGTCGGCCCGGGCCCCACCACACCGTTTGGCACTTCGCCCTCTGCCGGCATCTCTGGCCCGTCCAGCCGACCGCAGGCGAATACCTCGGCGAGACGGGTCGGCCGGGGCCCTGCGGGTGTGAATCTGGATGAGGCTGATGACAATGAGAATTTCTTTGAGGCACTGGGCCACCGGATGAAGAATACCATTGATACCTTTGACACACCCAGGTGGTTACAGGATATCGGGCAAGGAATCAAGAAGCCGAAGTGGATGGCAGGAGGCGATGAGGATGGGCATGGGAGTAGCGGTGCTGGTAGTAGTAGTAGTGGGGGAGGAGCCGGTTCGGACGTGAGGAGGTGGTTTGGAGGTGGGAATAGTGAAGGGAGGATAAGGTTGTGAGGTGCAATTATTGTTATTTTCATAGGGATTCGTTCCTGTTTTCATTTTGGGTAACGTGCATCTTTGGCAGGAAGGGTATACCATGGGTCCGGATGATTCTATAATATTAGTAAAGGGGGGAAAGGTGTGAGAGCTGTAGGATGCATTGCTGGGCGTTTTTCAGGGTAATAGGCCCCAAATTACAATCCATGTTCAACCATAAAAAGAGAACTGTGCAACTGAGATAATGACCTCGGCCCTTCGACTCTCCTGTTGTTTCAATCATAGCACCTTTTCTTTCCTTCTATTTCATCTTTCCTGTTCTGTTCTGTTATTATCTTTTTCTTTCCTCACCCCCGCCCCCCCCCGGCTCCTCTTTTTCGTCTTTTTTCACATCTCCTCTTCTCTTTCCTACCACTTACTTTCCCCCCTCCCTTCCTTTTCCTTCTGTTATCCTTTTTTTCAGTTACGATGGGGTGAGGATCATATCTTTAATCTGCGTAACGAGTACCGCATGTATACAAAGTCTCTTTAATTATCCGTCCATATAACACCACTATCTTGTTTGACACAGTTCGGCATAAAGGGGACCCGAATTCTACCTCACATTGCTATACGAGTGATGTGTGAACTATACTACATGTTAATAAAGACGTCAATTGCTGCTCAACCCCGGCCAATGCTGTCTCAAGGCTATCGACGCAGTCCCGTTCTGTCACGAACCAACCATATAGGGCAAGCCTGGTAGGGCGCAGCCGAGACAGCATAGCCAATAGGACAGAAGCAGGATCAGGTGTCACGAGCTGAACCGCGGAAGGCGGCCCGTGGCACATACAGGTGGGGCGTGGGACGCACTGCCAACCAATCACTTATGTAACCAATCAGGGGAGACTCGACGGGATCTCTTTGAGATCCACGAGAGCTAACACCAGGATCGATAAAGAAGGGTTGAGAGCCAACAGACTCGACAGGATCTCTTTAAGATCTATAAGAGTCAGGTATAAAGAAATAAAGAAGTCTTTAAATAACGTACTTTATCAGCGAGCGGGACATATCACCGAACGGGACACTCCCCACTA